GAAGAAGCATTCTGGATTCGCCTTCAAGAGGAAGGCCTTCTCAACTCAACCCAACAGAGCGCCAGCTGAACCGAGAGGTCATTGGTAGTACTGCGCTGGAATGGAACCGCGCAGCCAATATGTTCCCACCGCGGCTGCTCAGACGCCGCTCTCCGAGAGAGCCCTGCATCCGGGCTATGGATAGCGGGCGTCGCCCTATTATTGAGAGAATTTAATTGAAATTGAAATCGAAATAAAAATCAAAATTGCTCCCAAAAATAATGTCTTCTTCCTTTTATTGCATCGAAAGTGATTCAGTTTCACAATCTTCTCAGTCATCGGCGAAGCCTTTCCGGAGGCGTTCGACCGCAAACCAACCGAAAAAAATAAACCAGAAACCAAATACTTTGAGATAAACTCCATGGCAGGCCGATTCACAGACCAGACCGCAGCCGGAAGTCGCTAAATATTTTCCCACACTCGGCCTCAGTGTCCGTCCTCCATCAGACTCGTCGTCTGCGTTTGCCTTTGCCTTTCAGTCTGGCTCTGGCTCTGGCTCTGGGTCTCCAGCTCTCGTTGGTTGGCCTCATTATGGCCCGATCCGCTCCACTCAGCTGCGGGCTGGAACTTGGCGAAGACGGGTGGAGGGCGACCGGCGATTTGCGCCGGCGCTGTCTCTGTCGCAATTAAATAATAAAAATAAAGCAAAAAGTCAGTTCTAGGAAACGTCATTTATTATGAGGCTCAGGCTCGTACTCGTATTCGAGTGTGAGAACCGCGGCTCGCCTGTCAATGCCTCCGCACTGTGGCCTGCCATTGTGGTTTGACTATGGCTTTGACAGCTTTAACTGCGCTTGACCGCTTGGCACATGCGCCGGGGCCGGTCGAACTCGCGGACAGATGGACAGATGACGGGACGGACAGTCAGTCCGGTCAGACATTGCAAATTAAGCTCGCGACCGCGACCGTCTCGGCACTTAAAATTTCACTGTGTGTGGGTCTACCTCGTGCGAGTATGTGTGCGCCTGAGTGAGGTTCGATTACGGAACTTCAGTCTCAACGCTTTTGTCTGGCGGACAACTATGATGATGACTACTTACTAGACCGACCCGGCTCAAGCCGTGGACGGGACCGACCGTTCAAGCTGTCGCTGATTGCTGTTAATCTTCAGAAAATGTGATTAGTCACGTAACTTTTGGCATGGAAACCAAGTCATCGAGACATAGATTGGGGGTTTTGGCAGCTCTTCTTCATTTTGTTGGGCCCAAAACAGTTATTTATGAGCTTCAACGGTAGTCGGCCGAAATGTGTGATCTACTTTGTGATGGAAGATAGTTTGAAGATACATTGCTTTGAGATAGAGCAAGGGTTGATTGCAGATACATCTAAACCTTGGATACGGCCATTAGGGTTGTTCAAAGGAGTTTCCTATTGATCATTATATTATGATCTTCTTTGCACAGTGATTTATCACTGCTGACACCAGTCACACCGTCTAGGCCTATTCGTTCAGTCTGAAGACCAATTAAAATATGAGTTCGAAAATATGAAATCTTTGAAAGAGATCTACCTAGAGCTGACATCGTAAGTAAGATTAATAGTTATGTACATAATCATATACAGATTTTGATAGATATTGGCAAATTAATTCCAAAGTATATCATCCCTAAGAGGGATTTATTTTCATTAATACTCTGCGATCCTCAATAAATTAACAAAAGTCAAAGATCTCGCTTCCGAGCTCCGAGCCGGGCCAAAATCTGTAACAGGAAAGTACAGTACGGCGCACACATCATACATCACGTGACCTCTGTGTGGTAGTGGGCCCCCCAAGGCCCCCGCCCCAATTCACTGCGGGTCCGGCCACCTACTTCAGTCATAATACACACGCCGCAAAAGTTAATGCAGCCATATTAAAGTAAGCGCAAGACCACCACTTAATGCAGGAGAGGAGCAGCATCGGCGGAAACCGGCCTGGGAATGGTCTGAGGATGCTCGTGCCTCAAAACCCAGCCTCCAGATCCAACTCAACAGCATCCCAACATCTCAAAACACACACAAACACACGGACAGATAGAAAGAGAGAGAGAGAGAGAGAGAGAGAGAGGGAGGGAGGGAGGGACACACTATCAAAAGCTGTGGGCAGCTTGTCCAGTGGCAGCCAGAGCGTGTGCCAATGTAGTGTAACAACATCCCATATTAAAGATATTACAGAGTCAATAGCACACCATATAAGTGTGGTTGGGTGCCTCTCCAACTCCCATTCCCATTCCTACTCTCAACTCCGAGAGTCCATCTCCATCTCTATAACCATCTACGTTCCCATCTCACTCGCTCTCGCTTTTTGGTCATAAACCAACTAAATTGAGTTCGTTCAACAAAACAGCGACGCATGCGCCGCACCGCGGGCCAACCGACCGGCCGGCCGGCCGGCCGGGCCACCTCCTAACCCAACCGATCCCAGCCCGAAGTAAACCCCTTTTGTCCACATCACACGGCGCGCTCTTAACGATCGTGTGTCCACAGTCATTACAATGTTGGCCAATGCACAACCATTCGACTGAGACTGAGACTGGGACTGCGACTGAGACTGAGACTGCGACGACGTCGCCGCACACTTACCGCACGCTGCTTTTCTCTTTCATGTCGATCGCTGGCTAGGCTCGGGCCTCGTCTCCGGCTCAGGCGCAGGCGCAGTCGCAGTCGCAGGCGCAGTTTGGTCTCCAGCCACTCTTCTACTTGGTCGGTCGGTCGTGATCTTGCCCGTAAGTGGTCTTGTATCTTGAATTCGTAAAAATACTCGTACACACAGACGTACGTCCACACAGAGCGGATCTCCCTCTCTGTCTTTTGGCTTGCAGCAGACACACATACACATAAAAAAGGGCAGGTGTGTCGATCGTGTGAGAACCACGTTCCAAACCATTTTCTCACGATCTTCGCTTCTGATATTTCTTTTTTGTTTTGTTTTTGTACTTGGCTCCGGTTCCCTGCCCCTACTCCTGTCCCTGACTGACTGACTGGGCCCTTCAATCCATTTGCGTGTGTGCGAGAGGAGACCCTTCCCCACCTCCGACACCGTCTTGGTTGTCGTCCTCTGCCTGGCTGGAGTGATTCGTATGCAGTTTGTGTATTGTAGTTTTTAATGACTTGGGCTTGCGTTCGAGCGCTCGATCGAGCTGGATCGGGGTTCGGTTACGTTACGTCGCCGCCATTCGTTCATCATTCATCGGGTTTACCTATAAGATTAAGTATCTTTTGTGTTGCCTGCCTCTGCATGCATTTCCTTTTGGCATTTTGGGTGCGATTCCTATATATCCATATATCCATATAGCCATATTTTTATTTTCTTATTGTCCATTGTCGTACGTAAATACGAGTATGTGGGTCTCGTGTATGCATGGCTGGTGTTGTTCCGCTTATTGTCTTGCCAACTGTGTGATGGCTCTGATCGGATCATCTAGGGATGGACACGGTTTAAAAATGAGTTAACATTTCGCTTGGATCTTAAGGGAGATTTCAAGGGGAAAGTTCAAGTAGTTTGGAACTGTTACAGAGATGATCCTATGGAGATGATCTACATTGAGTTTCACTCAATTAACAGATCGTTTATCTGATTAAAAGTTCCTTTTTATTGATTACAGTTTACATAGCGGTAAAGATATAAAATGAAAGGATTAAGGTTCATATAAGTTATTCCAACAAATCGACAGATAGTTATCGTTGGATAAATCTCTCTAAGGTTTAGGTTTCTGTTAATTTATTACATCCTTTGGATGCCTAGATCCCATACAAAATTTAATCACATTCACGGATTTTAAATCTATAAATTTAGTTTCGTTTAATTCAGGCCATCCCTGGACCTACGGCATCCCTGATATTTATCTGGTTGACTATTCCTCTCGTCATGGCCTTGCCTGCCAGCCAGAAATCGATGGTTAAGACAGAGGCGTCTGGGGACCGGCTACTGGTCTTGGCACACACAGATAACCAAATGATGCTGGGTCAGGCCGAATCAAAAACGAAAAAAAAAAACCCAAACTCGATCCCAAGCCCAACACTAAAAAGTGATATCCTGTCCCGGGCTCCATCCCAAAGTTGCCCTAGGGCAAGACACTCATTTACCTGATCCCAAAGCAATTATGTAGCCGAAGCCGTAGCTCGCCTTGACCATTGTGCGGGGCGATTTTCTAGTCGAATGGCCACATCGAATAAAGGAGAAACGAAATCAGGATGGATATGGGATGAATGATGACTCGGTCCCTTTTCGGGTCTCCCCCCATCTCCTTCTTCTCTGATACTTCTTTTCGGGCTGTTCCTCTTCTCTGGGCTAAGTCTGAGCGACATTGTCGTAACTCGATTAGACACGCTGAGATAAGTCTCTAATTTTTTGTGTTACCTCCGCTTATTGTAGGCACACGTGTTCAAGGGGCAACGCAACTGTGGCTGTCAGTAGTAGTCTCGACTTTGTGTTCTTTCTCCTTTTTCTCTTTCTCTGCCTCTGCCTCTTCTTCTGCTTAATTTTCTTGTTTTGGCCTTGGCATTGTTTTCGCTTTCTTTTGTCTCCGATCTTATGTGTGTCCATCTATGGGGAGATGAGCCAGGCAGCATTCACGGCGATTCGGTGTGGAAAACTAGAAATTCTCCAGGCGATTCGGCGATTGCTAGGTCTATGAGTATTTCCGCTGCAAAACCGCAGGCAGAGCAAATTATCGGGAATTGGTTATAGATGGGTGTGCCTGACCAATTGGATAGTGGGTCCATCGACCATGCTTATTTGCATTCACCGAAAAATGAATCACTGAAATGTCGGGTAAATAGTAGAAGGAAAAAGTCGTGATCTTTCAATTTTAGCTATGTAATTTATTATTATTTGTTAATAGTATTTATCACGTGAACTGTGCGTCCCATCTAAAGCTTTGTGTGCGTTCTTAAAAGTAAGTGGTGGAGAGTCAATGGAGTTGGTCCATTGACTCGGAAGACTTTTACTTTCTAAATCGTTCTTTTCTTTCTCTCTCTCTTTCAGTGTTCCTGGAGGTGCTCTCTACCAGGGCCGCCAGACATTCTCCTCATCCTCGCTGTCGACCTCCAGTTCCATTTTTGTGACATCAATGGAGGAGCAGGTGGTGAGTAGGGAGGCACTGCCCAGACGCTCGCTGCTGGCGAGACTGGAGTTGGGGCTGCCGGCAAAGCTGGAGACGGGCGAGATGGGCACGGAGTAGGCGTCCCGGCTGGCTATGTGCACGGAGAGTGGAGCGGTGATGGGGAGAGCCTCCTTGACGGCGGGCTGCAGCTGATTGAGGCGCTGTCCCAGATGTGTCATCAGTTGGGTGCCCAGGCTGACATTCATGCCGGGCAGATGGGACAGGGAGCGGGAGACCTCGTTGACGGCATGGATGTAGCCGGAGCGGAATCCCTCGGCCGGACTGAGGCTCTCGTCGCCGGAGGCGCGCTTGTGCTGGCGCTTCTCCTTCATCTTCTGGAGGTGGGTGACTGTTAGCTCGAGAATGTCGGCTTTTTCCAGGCGAGTGACGTGCTCGCCCTCCGACTCCAGCGTGGCCACCATCAGATCCTTCAGCTCATCCAGGCACTTGTTGATGCGTGCCCGACGCTTCCTCTCCAGCATAGGCTTCATCACCTTGCGGTACTGATAGGTCTTGGACATTTCCGATATTTGTGACGACGACATTTTTGGATATGTTCCTTCGTTGTAATGTTTGTTCTTTTGAGCTGTGGCTGCTCCGACGGCTGAAGACGTTGTGTGCTGTCTGCCGGCCCTGGCCCTGGCTTTTATAGCTGGCCAGAAACAACCCCCATGATCCAGGGATCTCGTGTGTGCTGGCTGGGCCCCTGTGCTGGCATTTCGTGTCGGGCAGAGCGGGACGGAGCGAAGCGTGTGCTGGCATGAGGGTTGGTCGCCCTTCCGCTTCTTGAGGCTGCTTCTTATTGTTTGTCCGCTTTCTTATTGTTGCCTTGTCCCCGTCACCGTCCCCGTCACCGTCCCCGATTCGGGGTCTGGCCTGGGCTTGGCCAGGGCACCCTTATCAACGGTTAAGGGAGCAGGATCGCTGCAAGGATCGTTTCGCATTGTGTGTGCTTGGAACCGTGGGAAACACTTTCCTCCTCGGTTTCTCACACCAATATGCTCGCTCGCTCGATTCGCTCACCTGCCCCGAAAGAGCAACGGAGCATGAGCATATTCGTAGTCAGGGGCTTGGCCCTGGATGGATATGGGCATGGTTTCATACTCGTACTCGTACTCGGACTCGGACTCGAGCATGGGAATTTGCGAGCAGGAACAGCTGCCGTTTCTAGATTTGTGTGTTATGATTTGACTATACCCATACACAAATGCCGGCGAGCAGAAGGATAATGAACTGCTTGCTTTATGCCATCTCATTTAGGTCTCGTCTCGGAGTTCCCACGGCTCCGATAGGGATACAGGGATGGGGGGATGGGGCGTTGCGATTCGTCGACAACTTCCTGTTTACTGTTGGCATTCCACCTTGGATCGTATTCGTGCCGAGGCAGAGGCAGAGGCCGAGGCATCCTGCACTTGTTGGTCGGCTGCTATGATCCCGATCCGATCCTGTGGGAACATTGCTCGTGTGCGTCGAGTGTGCTTAATGTGTGTTCGTTCGACTTTCCCGTTCCATTCGGCCGCCCGATCCTTGATCTCTGCTGAGGCGCTGCCTCTGCTCTGTAAAAGGGGCCAAGCGATGCTGCTCCTGGAGCGCTGCTCGCGTGTGGCTCGCGGTGGACACACTTTCGGCTGTAAGTTGTACGCGTTCCAGGACTTTTGTAATCGATTGTCATGCCATACACTGCACTGCGGTGGGGATTGTAATTGGGTTGAGTCACTGGGAGCTTTAAATGCGAATGGGTTGAAGGGGTTTTTTGTGAGAGGGTTCGACGAGGAACCATTTAATGAGGGGTGATTATTGCAGTCTCTTGGGTGATCCTAACTTGATCGCAAATCGAAGTACCAAAAGGGTACAATATCGTACATCTGGTTAAAATAATTATCACTGAATGGAATGCCAAGATTGTAACCACTGTAACTGGAACTGTTATAAGTTTTATGCCAAATCGAGCTGAAGATAATCGTAAGCTATGTATGTCATAATCCAATACCTATTCAAAGACAGTGGGGTTATAGTCCTTGTCCCTGTCTCTTGAGATTCTAGAACCTTTTGATTAATATAAATGCAAAAATGCCAACTTTCAATCAAAGTAAACAATTCAGATACTTTTTGAAACTCTGCAACCCCTTCTCAAAGTGGCCTTAGTGGCATTGAATGCAACTGCAACATGAGGCAACAAGTAAAACATTTCCTTCGTTAGTTGCCTATTGGAATCCTTTGAATATTATAAATTTCTCAATCAAATCGAATAAAATTCAAATGGTTTGTTTTATTTCAAATATTTATTTAAATTTGTATTATTACAAATGGTGTAAAGCATATGGTAGTTGTTAAGTATACGAAAAAAATGTATTTCCTTAATAAAACTAAGTGGAAGATCAATGGGGAAGCTCTTGTTTAGGTTAATAAAATAAGTTATAAATATTTATAAATGTGTTTCTATACATCTATGGGAGATCAAATACAAAATACGAACTTAAGAACTATCACAGGAACATCACATCATATCATATCATATCATATCATATGGTAATAGCTATTGTAAGTACAATTCTGAGGCAAATGTTTACACTAAACCTTGGAAAACTTGGATCGTTTCTAAATACGAGTATCTTTTATGGCCTACGAACTAAATCCAGAGTAGTAAAGCTCTCAATGTTGAGTGGTTGAGTTGAGGGGTTGCTAGGTGTTGGTTCACCAGGGTCGCCAGACATCCTCGCCATTGGGGTTGTCGTTGTCCTCTGGAGGGGATGTAGGGCGCTCTTCATGGTGGTGCTCCTCCGACTTGCGGTCGGAGAGATTGACGGGCTCCTCGCTTAGGTCGGGAGTGTCCAGTTCCTCCTTCATGTCCTTCAACTGGTGTCCCAGCTGCTTCATCAGGTGTGTGCCGAACTTGAGATCCAAGCCAGGAACGGTGGAGAAAATGTGCGAGACCTCGTAGGCGGCCTGGGTATAGCCCGCCCGGAATTTGTCAAAATTCACCTGGGAGGAGGCAGAGGAGGATGTGGACGATGGCGACGATGGACTGGCTAGGCGCTGCTGCTGCTGGGTCTTTAGATAATTGACGGTCAGCTCCAGTATGTCGGCCTTCTCCAGCTTGCTGACCTGATCGCCCTGCGCGTCCATCGTATCCACAATGAGGTCTTTGAGCTCGTCCAAGTACAGGTTCATGCGGGCCCGTCTCTTGCGCTCCAGCAGTGGCTTGGTCACCTTGCGGTAGTGCTGCGTCTTGGTCATAAATCTCTGACCCTGCACTGCCATTGTGATTGCTTTTGTTGGGGCCTTAAGTTTGTTTGTAGCTGAAGCGGGCAATGCAAATGATCCACGTTGAACTGCGATGGCGATGGCGATGATGATGATGTTGATGCTTCTGCTCTTCTGCTTTTCTGTTGCTGCTCTGCACTGCACGGTAGTCACTTGAGAAATGATCTTGCCGCAAGGTAAGCTGATCCTTTTTGTAGCTGCAACATCGTCGTCGGTGCCATACACTTGCAAAATCCTCCCCTAACTGCTACCACGCACAATCGACGATCACAACGAAGCATCAATCGGGTCAGAGACGGAGACGGCACTGGCATCGGCATCGGCGTCGGCGTCGTCTGTGTGGCACTGGGCTCTCTGCTTGTGGCAAGATTCATTCGCTGCTGCACGTGTGCAACATTTAAAAAAAAAAAAATGGTATCGAGCGGAAGCCGTTTTGTCTCTCTCTCTACAGTGAGAGAAACCTAAGGATCTTGTTGTTCCTAACTGTACTTCTGAAGAAAAATCTTAACTTTTTACAGAAAATATTCCTATTAAAAGAAAATATTAATAAATATTGTGATCACCTTCATACTCCTATAGGCATATGAATAAATTTAAAAAATATTCCTGACATCCATTTTTCTCATAAATGATCTTAAAACTCAAATAAGGTTTGTCTCGCATAAGGAAAAATCAGGTATACCTTTAGCAAAGGTCATCTATAGGAATTGGAAAACATTCAATATCAAAAATTGCTTGGAGCCCTATAATCATAAGCCCTATAATATATTTTAAGGCATGATATATGTATGTACATATATCTATATAAGGTACTATTTTCTGTATATTTCCTCAACTTTGGCAAAATGTAGCGAATGAATAAAGATAGATATTCTCTTTATAATATTTTTTTTATGAACCCTTTCATAACAATACACGTTCCAAAAATTTCTTCAAGTGTATTGACTAGGGCCCAATAACACGTTCTTCAGCAGGGCGACTACTCGCTCACTCTCATTCGGTGCCGCTCTCCCTCGTGCTGATGCCGTGCGCCGGCGCAACAGCCCCGGGAGGAGAAAGAGCCAGAAGAAAGACGACGACTCCGACAGAGGCCCAGAACCATCAACCACCACCACCAGCAGCGCGCACCACACGCACACACGACATCCCAACTGGGAAGCGACGGCGACATGACCTCGACCTGCCTGCCACGACGATCTCCCTGCTCCTCGCACGCTTGCAAGCGAACCGATCCGAACCCCGACCCGACCCGAGACGACGAGCCGCGCCGTGCCCCATGCGTGCCATCCTCACTTAAGCCATAGAGCAGAGCCAATCTCATCGAGACGCTGCCATTGTGACTGTGTGTGTGTGTGCTCTTCCCTTTTGGCGCACAGTCGCTGAGGCAGAAGCAGCGGCAGAGGCAGAGACACAGACCTCATTTCCTCTTTGGCGCGACATTGCGTTACACTTACGGACACGGAGCAACCACCGCATCAACCACCACCACCACCCATGCCAGCAGCCGGTGTTCTTCCCTGCTCGGTTCGGTTCGGTTCGGTTCGGTTCTGTGTTATGCTATGTTGGGTTGGTGCATCGTGAGAAAGTTTACTCGAGGCATTCCCACAAGTATTGGGATTGTGCCGCGCTCCTGCTCGGGTCGAGTCTCGGTCAGCTGTGACACTTGTTTGGCGCATTTTGCGAGATTGCTTGGGTCTTGGGCCATTGACGAAATCACCTGCTCGGTCGAGTGCCGAGGGTAGGTGAGACAAGACCGAGGGTCGTTGTAGTCGCTGCAATCGCATCCATGAAATCGAGAAGTTAACATACACAGAACGGGAACGGGAACGGAACTTCGGGGACTGCAACAAAGTTGACATTTGAAGGCACTGATTTCATGCATTTCGTTTACAGAGTTCTTCGTGGGGGAGGTTTCTGAGATCATCAGCGAGCAATTGTTTTGATATGGGTCTCTGGGGACGGAATGAGTAAGGCAAGACAGCCCACCATATGCAAAAACAAAGATTTCAATTGCGGAAATTTACATCGAAAGAAGACGATTGAAAAAGGGGGATAATCTTCTGAGGGTGATTCATAATCGGGATGCGGGATTTGCTCTTTATTGATTGTAAAGAATTTCTATCGAAGGAGCATTATCTTAGAAGAGAATCAAAGCATTAATATCCTTTGGACTTGAATGGAAGCTGGAATAACAAATATTTCTTTAAGGGTTTTGTAAAAATTATTATAAGTTTTAAGAGAAGATATTAATCGATTTCATGTTTCTGTCAATTGAAATAGATGGAGGTTGCAAAATGAGGATAATGAGAACATTTCATATTTAATGATCTAAATCTAAATATATCGAGATATATTAATCGTATTACTGATATTCCCTAATATTCATGAAGCATTCGACATGATGCAAGGGCTATTCCAGATATCTTTCAGGTTTCCAGTAACCATCGTAAAGTATTCTTACGCGTAAGAACCCGTAATAATAGACCTATACAAAGGAATCTTTGGGTTAAGAAACATTTAATGAAATTCATTTGAACGATTTATTGAAAGTAAATGAATTTTTGTTCGATATACTTGTACATTGATAGATTTCGAGGTTTTAACATTTCATAAATATCTTTAAGTGGCCGTAATATACAAAGATATATATTCGTTAAATACACATATAGCAACACACACATATACATATACATTTACATATACATATAGATTAATTAATGAAAAGTAACGCGCTAGCTGGTCGCTCGTCTAGTTTGATTTTTAAAATATTCGCTTTGAACGCGCTTGGTTAATACGATGTCATAGTTATAAAATACAATAAGATACAAATTCAAATATGAAAATCAAATTCTTGTGCTAGAAGGTAAGTTTAACTGTCTAAATTGTTGCGTTTATTGTTTAATAAGAGGTACAAGTGTGTTTAACATTCGTAGTGGTGTTCTTTCGCTAACAACTCTATTTCGATTTAAAAATCGTTTTTGTTGGCTTACAACTAATTTGAATTAAAAGGGACTGCTGGTTTGTGATTTTAGCATAGGTATAAGGGGGTTTTTGTTCGGTTAGTTTGGGTGTTCGTTGGAGAAACATATGTTGGTGAAATAAATAGGTAGGTGTTAATGAATGATGAACTTAGGTGGAAAACAATAATAATAATTACAATAAAAATAAATGCCATTTCATACAGTTGCAGCGCGGGGAGATTCTCGTATAATACAAAAGAATTCAGAGGACATGCCCGTCGGGGCATGCCAGTTTCTTAAAGCTTTATGTTCTTTTCGTGTTCGTTTCGTTTGATTTTATAGTTGTTTTTGTTTTTTGCTGTTTGCTTGGTTAACTCCGTTGGGCCTCGGCCGTGGTCGTCTTCTCAGGAACTGGTGATCTTTGTGTACGTGCCTTACAAATTTAAAAATGTACATATTGTACAATCGATATTCGGTAAAAAATATTTCCGTTTGATACATATACTCCTTCTCGTACTCATCTCTCCTATCATCGTCATCTATGCGTTTGCAGTTTCATTGAAGGCCTTTCCATTCCGTATCCATTCTACACATTCTATATGTATATATATATATATATACAATATTTTTACATTTATCTCTTATCGCTCTCACATCTGGTCGACTGGACATCTCTCTGGACATTCTATACATACATGTATCAATATATAAACACTCTATAGCTTTTTGTACGACTTTCTGTGGGGGGCAGGGGTTTTGTTTTCCCTTTCTCTAAAAGCACTTTTTAAACAGATTTAGGAAACGGATTACTCTTGCGACAAGTGTGGTACGTCTAGTGCGCGGGTCTGTAGTTGTTATTCATGCAGCTGAAAATAAGACAAAAGTTTGTATAAACACATCGAGGGTAGGAATATTTTGGGAGGAAAAAGAAGAGCGGGTTAACAAAGCGGTAGGGACTTAACAATGTTACTTATTTCTTATCTTGATTTCATTGAACGTTTTTTTTGTATAAAATTCAAATTGTAATAAAAATATACATATCATATATAAAATCTTGATGTATTTGATAAATCTGATTTCATTTCTAGTTAGGTTTACGGTTAAAAGCTACTGAAAATCGAAAGAATTATTGGCAAGTGGAACGTGTTCTTAGGTATTCTATTGATTATATATTCTCTGGGCATGCATATCATAAAAATATGTATTCTGATTGCTGTTACAATGTAACATTTGGTGTTTTCTCCTCGTTTCTTTCAGCGCTGGTTAAGTCCTTTGTTTCGTATTGGAACAACAAAAGGTATGGCAAAACTACACTACGCTACATAATCGTAAGGTGCGTATAAGTTACACAAATATTATCGAAAATATGTATGCTGTAAATGCTTTAAGGTACCATATACATATACATATAAGTATATAATTATCAAATGTTTTCAAACATCAATTCGCTAATAAGTCATACATAATGTGTAGTGCATTATCTTGTGGGCTTTTCCTTTTTCCGAGTGTTTAACAATTTTCATTTCGATCAATCAATCAATCGCTCTTTGTGTTTCGATTTGGCAAAGCTTAGATAACTACAAAATACATTTATTTTTGAATATTTTGAATATTTTCGTGTATGCTGGGGCGACATTCATTGTCAATATTCAGCTGTTCAAATCTGTTTAGCAATTATATGTATATTTGGAATTAGTTGCAATTTTACTATTAGTGTTTTCTAGTTTTGTTTGGAAGTTTCAATGTGATGGACTGTCGTTAATTCGATGTTTGGCGCGTGATTTGCTGTGAGAGGCACGTCGCAGGCTGCTAGCGCTGCCCGGGCAATTGTCATAAAAATCTAATGATTCCGATGAGAATGCTATATAATATAATCGGTGTGATACAAAGAAAAGGTTAAATTTGAGTAAATAGTATTGTTTATACAATTGTCAGTGTTCATTCGACTGGGAATGCTAGTGTAGGAAAAGAAACTCTCTAGGTTAAGCATTGCATTGTACGATTTTGTGCTCGGTATAAGCTATATATACCGTAAAAGCTGCATCTACGCACCTTTATCCGTGGGCGACCCCAAGGTCAGGCTGCTCAAGCTGGAGCTCAGGTTGTAGGGACGCGGCGAGGGTGGTACTGGTGCAGTTTCATCGCCCGGCAAGCACGTCTCAACCATGGCTTCCAAGCAGTTGACGAAGAGCTCTGAGGATTCACCCATCATGTTGTACTGGAAATATTGAAATATAATTATTAATTTTTGCTATACACTTTCTAGGCAAAAAACCCACCTTGGTAAATGGACCAGCAAAGCGCCAAAGTCCGCCAAATCCGCAGCTCTGCAAGAAGTGCAGCTGCTGCTGGGAGGGATCTTCGCTGGCCAGCATATTCTGGATAATGTTCTGCACAGAGTTGAGCACAACCTGATCGTGCGACACTGACAATATATTGTTGATCTTTTGGTCCAGCAACGAATGGCTGAAATACGAATATATACTTAAGTTAAACTAGATCAGAATAATTTGAAAGATCCACTTACATGACTGGAAACACTTTGGGAAAGACCACAGATCCTTCGGCTAAATACTGGTACAATACGCGAGTTTCTCCCTCATCCGACGAGTACTTGACCAAGGTGGCTAGCACAGTGAGGACCAAGGCTTGGATGGATAAATCGGGTAGAACTTCGGGATCAAGTAGGACATTCGACTCGTTGGATACCGAAGAGCGTGAGCCGCGTTCCTGTTTCGGAATATGTTTTCAAAATGTTTTATCAACTTGTTTGAGCAAAATCACAACCTAAGACACACACACATAGATATACGTTTTGAAAAAAGGTTCGTGAAGATGTTGTCTACCATAAGAAAAAAAGGGTGTACGAAATGTGCAATGATCTGGATGGATGGAATAGAACTTTGCCATCATGCAGTGCCATGCAGAGAAACAAAACAAAAAAGAATAAGGATAAAAGTAGGAGGACACGAAACACAAATATGTTTTCTTTTGAGTGGGTTTTTAGTAGAGAGAACTTAGAGAGAACGAGTTAGGAGGATAGATGTTAGTTTTAGCTAAGAGATAAGTTATGTTTGTAGAGCAATACCTGACGTTCTTCGATGCCGGTGGCATTGTTCGGATCTTTGGTTGTTGGCACCGAGAATGAGCGCTGAGTTTTGAATAAAACCCTCGCATTCTACGGATGTACAATTTAATGTTGTTTGTTGTTTTTCATAGTGTTGATGTTGACCAAATCAAACGCAAATCAAATGACAATGTTCATGCGTACAGTATTAGCATTAGTGGTAGAGTAGTGGTGTAGTGGTAGGTGGCAATAGATATAGGAGTCGTTTATATAGGATATATTGATTGATATATTGATGAGAGTTACAAGCACCAATTAGATGTAGTAAGAGTCGGCAGGCAGGCATATAAACGGTATATATACGAGTATACATTGTGATTTATATGTATGTAACGTAACGTTTTTTGTTTTTTTTTTTATAAATCATAAAAAGAGAAACAAGAAAACATCATTGAACGATTATTAGTTATGCAAAGGCTGATCTCTCGCTCGATCTGATAGATATAGTCGGATATAGTGGGGATATAGTACCACATAGAAATATATAGAGACTCAAATAGATAGCCAAAAGTTACTATAGCAGATGGTTATAACAACTTTTGTACAGCGAATTTCGAACACGTTGGGGGCAGTTGGGGAGTGCGAGTACGCCTGTGGGTCTTTACCTGTAGAGTGGGAACCTTGTGCTGGCGGGCAAACTGCAGGGCGGACTGATCGAGTATGTCCCAACTCTTTTGTCGTCGCGACAAGGGCTGGCCAATCTATTTGTGGGTGGAAAAACATATATATCTCACTATATGTACATAGTAGTAGGATTATATGAAAGATCCCCGTATGTTTAGGCTTTCAATGAAAGGGACTTTTATAGAGTGCAGGGCATTCTACAATGGATGTGTACCAATGTTTTCTGCACCATTTCACAGAATCTACAGGGAGCCTATCTCTCCCAGTTTTGATTTATTGTCTTACAGCCTGAACTCCTCCATTGGACAATTCCGCATTCTCCACGCTGCCACTGAGGTCGGCCGGCCAGCGTGGCAGGGCATGCTTCACATGACAGCGGGAGCGCACTTCCTCGGACACAGCCACAAGAGCTGTCAGATAGGCCACACTGTCGGGCGTCACCTCGAACTTGTCGCGGTGCAGGGGCTTGGCTATGATGCCCAGCAGCATGGTCAGAACACGTGATGTCCGCGATACTGTGGTCGGTGTGGGATGACGGAAGCCCTAGTGAATGAAATATTATTTAAGAGTATTGTTTACTCCAACTAGTGTCCAATCCTCACCTTTATCAAATGCCCGACTAGGGCAAAGTGAAAGTTGCTACGGAATGAAAGTCCTACGGCATGGTCCAGCTGTTTGAAGTGCCACTCGAGCTTCTCGCGAGTCTTCATCATGACCTCGGCTATGGTTTCCTTCTTGTCAAAACATCCCTGAGACTTGAGCGTGTGCAGGTTCTGTTCGAGCAGTGCCAGCCCAGCTCCATAGAGGGTAATCTCGTCCAACTGTAGCACTGAGATGGCCACCCAGAAAAGGGCTCGATGGATGGGCGATTCGGGTCGCAGCAGTGGTTGAATGCGCGTCAGGCACATGACCAATGCCTCGATTAGGATTAGATCATTAAACGATTCCAGAGCCTTGACCAGAATACGCAGCAATTGCTTCACCTCGTGATCCGTCACACTCTTGCTGATGCAGCCATAGACGATGAGGGCACGCGGCTGCAGAGCCGGATTGTAGCAGAAGGCAAAGCTGCGGGCCAGCGAGGTCCAAGTTTGCAGCCATTCGCAATCGGGGACATCGCGCATACAGGCCTCCATTATCTCAAGCAGGGCATCCGTAATGACCTCCAGCGAGGGCAGCGACAGTCGTTCCCGATCCGCAGGCAATGGCTGCGTGACGCGCTCATTGCCGAGCCACTTGTCCGTGGGATGGCGGCAGCTTGACCGGAAGGCGGTCACTGCCGCCGACTTGACCTTGCTGATGCCGAAGAGTAAGTAGAATTTGGGCAGCGAGAACTCGTCCAGTGAGAGCCGCAACACCCGCTGGGCCTCCTCCGAGAAGGAGGGATTTGTGCAGGTGCACAGCGAGTGAATGATATTGATCACCAGGCCATGGGTGGAGGCCCTCATCGACAGGGATCCAGAGCAGACCAGAAACGTGATCGTGTGGAACAGATATGGCACCGAAGTGGCCACGTCTAGGCAGTTGTTGAAGGACAACATTAGTAGATAGCGTCCCAGTATGGCTATGTCGTCCCACATCATGTGCTGCTCCAGATACTGAGTGGGATTCGTGCACGACTTATCCATCACGCGACACATGCGCGTGATCACCTTCTTGGACACCAACTGAACGTTGGCCGAGGCCAGGGCCACCGCCGTGTCGGCCATAATCTCCACCTGGGGCGACCCCAACCCATACGTGATCGATTTGTGCAGGAAATTATCCAAAACCATATCGATGAGCTCTGGTATCTGACCAATGGAGCCCCAGATCTTGGCCTGCACCGATGGGTACATTTCCTTCTGGTCGATGGTCAGGTTGATCAGCTTGTCCAGGATCTGGGATACCTTCAGCTTCTTGGCATCGTCGTTGGATTTGCAGAACTTGACCAGATTCTTCAGCCAGGGCGTCATGTACTCCAAACACAAGTGCTTCAGCTCGATGGTGCTGCGCTGGAAGCCCTGGATGGACTCTTCGAGGAACTCCAGTGTCAAATGCGGCTCATTGGTGGCTAGTTTCTCGCTGACCGACTTGATGAAGATGGTATTGTTCGAAGGTATGCACAGTCCCTGCGTTTCTAGCAGCTGCCCCTCAATCTTCAGGTCAAAGGTGGCTGTCAGAGCACACAGCAGGTTGTAGGCAGCTGTCCGTAGATTGGGATCGCACGAGCCCAGATTTAGCAGTGCCATATTCAGGAGTGTACCCGGCACGTCCTTCGGTCTGATCTTCTGGTGTACTGTCACCGAATCCGGCTGGCTCAGCTCCCAGCGGTTCCGTATGTGGATAATGGCCTGGACAATGTTGTCGCAGTCATTGTGTATGAAACTCAACTGGCCGCTTTCGTTGGTTATCGAAAGCGTGAACTGATTGTCGTCCACCAGGCACACCTCCTCTATTTCCGAGGCATAGTAGACATCATTCAGGAGCACCGAGTGGGCCAACACTTTGGTCTTTTCCGCCGACGTGATCTGCAGTGCGGTGGGACCCACTTTAATGGCCACCTTGGTGTCCTTGTGGCTCAGCTTCAGGGCATTGCTAAACACCTTGAGATCCTCATCCAGCGAGAGTGTGGCTCCCGGCAGCTTCTGCTGCTCGGCATCAATGTAGTCCGTGAGCTTGTTCGGTGACTCCAGGAACATGAGCTTGCGATTCCCTTTGAGTGGGGCCAGAATGCGATCGTGGAACTTTGTATACTCGCGCACCCACGAGTTGCAGTTGTATATGTACACCGCATGGACATTCTCGTAGGCAACAGTCGGCAGCACATAGAACCACTTCTGCAGGAACTCTGTGCGGAAGCGGTTGTCCGAGCAGGTGTGTGTAAAATCAATCACCACCTCGAAGGGAGAGTGGCAGAAGGGCTTCAATGTGAGTATGACATGGTAGATCAGTAGATCCCCGTTTGTCTCACCAATCCTTGAAGAAAAGAATTAAGTTTTAGCTGAATTTGTAATAGAATGGGGTGGGCACTCACTTGTATCGCCTGGCTATATAGTAGAACACGGGATAGCCCGATTTGCTGGTACCCGCCTGGTAGAATATATTCATGGACTTGAGTGTCTTGAACTCCTCCTTCTCGTGCATCTGATGCTTGACCATGATCTCCTCGAAATTCGTGGACGACATATCGATGGAGCTCCAGCGTGCGTACGAACTGAACATCATGTGCGAATCCACGGGCTTGTGCTCTGGTGGCCCGAGGTAGGCCAACAGAGTGGCCATTTTATCAAAGGGTCGCCTGCCCACAGCCTTGTGATCGCGACTGCTGGAGAGATAGTCGCCAATCTTCTCCTGATGCGTCCACAGAAGTCGATGCAGTGCCAAAACATTCGCATCCGAAATGAAGCTCATGCTGTGCGATGTCTGATCCACGGTCTCGCAATCGGAGGCTATCTGTATGAAGAAACGACGACCCGCCTCGAAGTGATCGCGCAGGAAATCGTTGAAGCACAGCATGTGCTGCTCCTTGGAGAACTCTACATGATTGGCAATATTCTGCAGGATCTTCGACATCAGCATGAGACCGCGCTTGGCCGAGCTGTGGACCTGCTTATCAACAATGCCCAATTCCTGAGGGGAAACTAAAGGGCAAAATAAAGGGCAGTGATTAGCGTTTTGGATTGTGGATTGTATGTAGATCTCTTACCTATGGCGGGGTTTATGAAGCGCAGAAAGATGACTGTGCCCACGGCCCCAATATTGTTTTGCAGCAGATTCGGGAAACGTTTGCTCAGCACCTGGTACAGGCAATGGCACATCGACCGCAGCTGGGGTGGAAAGCGATCCGAAGAGTTAGTTATGGCATCAAAAACCTTCTGCGTTAGGGCTATCAAATTGTCGCGATGCTGTTCGATATCCTCTCCAGCCTCCAGTCGGGCCGGGTCCACCTCGAAGCAGGTCTCCTCCTGTTCGTCCAGCAGCGGACGAATGAGTGGCTCCAACAGCATTTGCAGATAGCTGGCACCATAGATCTTGAAGCAAAATGCCATGATCTTGCTGCCCAGAGAGTTGCCACGAAAGAGCGTCTGCATGCAGTCGGAGACCTCCACCTCGCGGTAGAACATGTTCCACAGCAGGGGCGACAGCAAGTGCTTGGCATCGAACAGGGTGACCAGAACCCGCGCCAGTTCATCCATTTGGGAAGTGGTAACCACATTGGCCAGTGCCATGGCAATGGGCAGCTCTCCCTTGTCGCTGATCATCGTCACCAGCTGCACCAACTGCTCGAAGCGATCGGCCAGCACCGTTTCGGCCAGAGTGTCGAACTCTGTGCCCTGCTGCAGGATTTGTGTGAGTACCTCCATGAAGGCGGCTCGCGTCTGCAGATCGGGATTGTAGCCCAGGTCAATCGAGTGCATCAATCCAGAGTCTATGTTGGCACCCAGCAGATTCGACATGGCCTGTATGGTGGCATTTCTCAGGGCCGTCAGTTTACCGGCTGCCATTCGTGGCCGTGGCGGCAACAACGGTGTGTTGTTTAGCTCCTTTTCCGCCTCCGAGCTGTCGATGCAGTCGTTCAAGAGGTTCATGAACAACGTAAAATACTTCAAAAAGAGCGCACTCTTGGCATCCATTAGATCGCCACGATCCGATTCCTCGGGCTGCAGTGGCAGGCCACGGAGCAGAGCGGCCACCGCCTCCATGCATGCCTGATCCAGGTCTCGGAAGATCAGCGATGTGTTGGTCAAAATGGCCGCATCCGCCGAGCTGGGCGGTGCGATCTGATGGGATGTGCCCATCACCCAGTCGGTCAGGTACTCCACCAGCTTGTTTCGGAACTTCATCTCCTGGCGGAAGGCCAGATCGTCGCGTCGCTTCATCATCACCTCCACCAGCTGGCAGAGTTTTGTCTTCACTCGAATTGCATAAACGGTCATGTCCAGATGGCGTACATACCGCACGATGCCCAGCATCATGCCCTCGATGCTCGTCACCCCCAAGTGCTCCGAGGGCGAGGGTTGTTCGTTGTTTGGGTCCTTGCTGGCCTTGGGATCCAGTATCGACTTCATGATGTAGATCGTGTGCTCAATAAACTGCGTATTGATGTCCGTCACATTGACATTCACTTGGCCCTGCTGGTCGAAGAACTTCTCCACAATGGCCCTGATCTGATCGAAGAGTATGGGATACAGCTGGGTGGACATTTCCTCACCCACCAGCTCCTTCACATTCTTCTGGATGTTGAGGCCGATCTTCTCGTTGCTGCAAACCAGCAGACGCAGCAGTTGTCCAATGAACTGCGTCACGGGGCAATAGCTGACATCCTGTGGCGGGGCTGGTGGTAGCGTCGATAGGGATACAGTGCTGGGGTGCAGTGAGCCATGCCCGGAGCTTGTGGAGCTCGAGTACAGCGAGGTCTGAGCCAACGAGCCCAAGGAGGCATTATTCTGGGACTGCTGCAGCAGTGTCTGACGGCTGCTGCAGCGTTTGTGCAGGCAAACGCCGCCCAGGGCCAACAGGAACCACGTCATGTTTGCCCATTCGTTGATTTGTTCCTCCAGATCGTGCTCGGAGCTCTGATGGCTCGCCCTACGCTTTCCCATTCCCCGATGGAAGACCTCCGCCTGGCCATCTTCGCCCTTGCATTTGGGATAGGTCTGCAGGACCTTGCTGGACACTTCCCAGTTGCGAAAGGTCTCCTCCCAGGCGGGCTGGACGCCATGGACACAGTGCTCGATCTTGCGCAGCAGCGTCATGATGCGTTTCTGGAGTGTGAGGCGACTCAGCACATTGCCATGTGTGTTGTCAAAGAAGCAAATGCGAGTATCCGTTGCAGCTAAAAAATACAAAATTAATATGATAATTACTTGATAAACAAATGCTTTAATCAACCCACAAGTGGACAACTGTGCCAGCTCCTGGTAGATGTGATAGTTGGGCATAATGAAGCCCACTGTCAGTTCGTCGGAGCTGCAGCATATCTCTGCCTCCTCGCAGAGCAGCCCAAAGCAGGAGAGCGATGTCAGCACTGCATCCAAGTCCACGCTCCACAAATACATGAAGAACACCACCTCCATTTTGATATGTGCCTGCTTGCAGATGGCTATCTGGCTCCCCACATGAGCATAGTCCTTGTGCCGCTGCAGGAAAGTGTTGCGGCAGATCAGTATCTCGCGCAGCCACTTCAGCACATCCGTATAGTTGGCAATTTGGTGCTGGATTAGCTTCTGAGAAATGGAGAACAGCACCTGAGAGCTCACGTCCCAGAATGTGTTGATGGGCGCCTCGGGATTCCAGACTTCTATTTTCTCTGGTGCGTGCAGGGCCAGCAGGGCTTCCATGGCCTCCTGTGCCACATCTGGCATTGTCGTTTGATGCACTAGGCTCACCAAACCGTTGATTAGCTCTAGAGTAGAGCTTTGTACCTCATGGGCCACTTTTCCTTGGGTCTGCAATCGAGACATTAAAGCAAGAGCTTGGCTATATAATCATTCAGAACTTACATTCAGCAGCAGCGTGGGATCAGCGTGTATCAGTCGCACAAGCAGCAGCAATAGCATCTTGTGGGCCGGTCCCTCCTCGGCGCGTGTCAGCCCCTTTTGCGTGTCCTTGGACTTGAGCGTCAGGGAGGTAATGTAGCGCAATGGCGTGTGGGCTATGTACCCTTGGGTGGCCTTATTTAGGGTATCCGTAAACAAAGCACGCAGCTCCGCAGACCGATAGTGGACGACTTCGGTCTGTGGCCACCAGGACAGACGGGGCTGGTTGACAATGCGGAAGGGATTCTTGTTTTGCAGTCGGAAATCCACATAGATGTGGGCCAATCTGGAAGGGAGAAACTTTATTAGGCACCGAAGATGATGAAATACGCTTCTTGATTACCTCAACAGCGAGCACACAATAACAAAATGATAGGCTTGCGGCGAGGATAGATTCAGGCACACCTTCAGAGCCTCAATGTTGTGCGGACTGATGCGGAAACAGGACACCCAGCAGTCGATCATTAACTCGATGTCGGCAAAGTTATAGCCCTGGCCGCGGGAGAACGGCTTGGCCGGGTTAAACAGCAACGCTTTCAGATCGTTGATGAAGTATTGCACCAGCTTGAAGACCACATTGTTGGAGTCCGTGATATTGATGTACGTGGAGGCTTTGCAAAGCTTTACACAGGCAATTGCCGAGGATTCTGTGACCTGTTTCGATGGCGAATGCTGACCCAAGCCCCGCTTGATGCTCTCGATAAACTGCCTGGCCGAAAAGTCCTTGTCCTTGTCCCGCGATGCCGACTGTGTGGACTTTGAAGGCACCTTTTCCTTCTCTTTCTCCTTTTCCGACTGCTGCAGCTCGTTGACGGTGGCCTCCAGGCTGGAGGGATTCAATATCAACAGCAACATTTGCAGGGGCCAGACCATGGTCTTGCTTTTCTTATTTTCGGTCTTGAAATACTCCACGAAGTCCAGCAGTGGCTCCCAGCAACTGTAAGGTAAGGCTTAATGCTGGCCAAATAAAAGGCAAACCATTACGTACGTGGATATATCTCGATTGGTGCCTCGCTGCAGGTCCTGGAACTCCTGTGGGTGATACTCAATCCAGTTCCAAATGGCCTTCTCCAGGGAGTAAAGTAAAATCAAAGGTGGAGCGCGCTTTGAGCGAAACTTTGTAATGGTTTCTGTAATATAGAGAGGCCTTTTTAGTATATATAGAACTAAATATTTAAGAACTATTTACCTTGTAGTAGCTTGGTAAGTTTAATCATATCCATATCGATGTGTTGTATCAATTCGATGTCATTGTAATCGGGATTTTCCTCCGAGCATGATGTTAGCTCCTGAATCCTTGCCGAGATGCGATTGAAAACAGCCGAGAAGTGATTTTGGGACAGGGCAAAGAGCACCTTGGAGGCCAGGGCCTTCAATTGGGCTGCATTCGGGTTACTGTCGCTCTGCACGTCCACAAATTGTGAGATTTCACGCAGCAGCAGCTTCACATTCATGGCCTCCTCAAAGCGGGCCGTGTCCTTGGTCTGATTGGTAAGACACCGCTCGAGGGTGGTCAGTATGATGACCAGAGATTCGAAATAGCAACGTTCTGGCTCGTATCGGTTTTGTAGTGCCTACAAAAATTGATGTTTTGAATTTGAAAATTAAAAACTGTGTGTATTCACTTGCACTTGTGTTCACTTACAGCCTCGTTGACGCGCTGGAGCATTTTTGTTAGGCCTGAAATGACCAGCGAGAAGCGGTAGCGCGATATGTGGATAAGGCATGCCACCAGTTGGTCCTGGCTCATACGTGCTTGTGTCCCATAAGCACCGATACGGTTCGGCAGCTGCAAAAGAAAAAGGGAGAAACGCATTTAATTGATTATTTCCATTTCATTCATCCATTCATGGGGGTTGCCGTTGCCTCCACCTCCCCCTCTCCCTCCCACATTGGAGCCCCATTGAGAAAAGAGCAGGAGCAGCATGCGGATAGGGAGGATGGGAGGAGGCAGGCGCTGAGCAGCAGGTACATTTTTTCGCCTTGGCATTGGCCGAAACGCAACACCTGAAAACGTTGGAAAAACACATGCCTGATCTTCGAAGCGCGCCAGTAGAGCACTTGCCCACTCGCCAGGCTTTTGAGTAGCCATTTTGTGTGGTTTTTGCAATTGTTTAAAGCCTTTTTACTGCATTTTTTGATTAAATTAAAGACCCGACCCACAACGGCGCCCACAGAGCGGCAACAAAAACTACTGTTACTTTGGCCACACTAAAAATAGTGTCCCTTTGGTCACACTAATCAAACGATAGTGCGCGCTCTCTATAAATATTTGCACTATCGATAAGTACCGCCTTCATATTATTCAGGGGACTCCTGAATTGGTTTCAGGCAAAATCCCCCGCAAAATTAAAAGAAAAAAACATATTATGTTCAAATTAATGTACTGTAATACATTAGGTAATATTATTTTTTTTTAAATAAAGGAGCACCATCCTAATCACCAACTTTTCATATACCCCTATTTCGATATCGATACTATCGACAGACAGACACAAATTGACAGATGTTGGCGCGCATATTAAATTCCATAATATAACCACACAATAAATACAAAAGGAATGATCAAACCTAAATTAAGGGAAACGTCGTTGATAGCTGGAATTCTAAATTTATTATAAAACTGTTCTGCGTCCAGCTTTCATATCCGGCCTCCCACGTAGTTGAAAATCCATTACCTGATCCAACACTCCGACTACTTGGTTCCGTTTACAGGTTCCCCTCGGTTCCGTTCATATGAACTGCGAAGACCGCGTTGCTTAAAAGTATTATAAATCATTTTCAATTGTTAGTTATAATTCGTTTATTTAATGTTGTTAATGCATAACAAATTATTACTATTTAATATTGTTGATAGTATTCCTCTGTTTTAGCCGGTGTTACTGTGTCTCTTGTTTGGTTGGAGTGTGTGTGGGGGTTTTCGTGCAAATTATACATAATTTACAGTAATACTAATCAAATATTTGTAATTTTCAGCATTTCGAGCAGTAGTGATTTAGAGTTTCGTCCAACATTCGTTATAAATTATTTAATTGTTCTATTCGTGGTATAAAGTTAGTTTTTTGCTACCTAAAAACACATTTACAGTCGCATATAGGATAGTTATGTATATATATTTCATTTATTGAACATTTTTGAGTTATTTTTCAAATAACAGCACTTAAGAAGACAAAAAATTTTAATTTAGGCATAAGCTTATATTACATTTGTGTTTATTGGCCGTTTTGGGAAGTGTGTGTTGGTTTTTATTACTTCTAATCAAAGAAACTCAACAGAGTGTATGAAAAATACATTGAAAATATTATTGGAATAGAGTGGTAGAGTGATATCTGGTAGGCGTTGCAGATTTACGAGTATGAGTTAGAGTATTTTGTTCTTCTTTTGATTTGATTTCTTTTGCATTGATTATATGAAAAGGGTTTCTTTTTTTTTAAATGCAGGTATTGATATTTGTTAGTTATGGGGTTCTATAATCCTTGTATCGGTTAGATGGGTACATTACATTCTTTCTTTCGAGTTTATATCCTGTATACGTATATAGCGTTCTGTATAGGTATGTCAAGTTTCGAATGGACGTTTGATGATCGGAAATAATATCGTGCTAAAAGTGCTCGAGAACTGAGTCCGAAGATAGCGCAAACTGATGCTCGTTGTAAATAGATTATAGATGTTGTAAGATCCCTATATGAATCTATATGTATATAGTATTTTTTCTGTTTATTTTGCGTTGTTTCGTACTCGATTTTTGGCTTACAGCTAAGTGGGTTTTGGTTTTCTTTTGAAATTTGATTTCAATGCAGTGCTACCCTGCCGTTCTTGAGCAGGCTTGGCAACTCTGAAAAGGGCGAGCTGCCTTCCGATAAATTAGTGCTAGCTTTTCGTGGGGTTTCCCCTCTTCAAATTTGTTTACTAGAGTAAGAGACTAAATTTAACAATTCCTTTGGGGGCATCAGAGACTCAATTGGGGTTTGTTTTTTTTTGAGGAGAAGTTTAAATGGTCCACACCTGAACCTTTTCGGCCACCACGCACCAGCTGGCCCGTTCGTAGTAGGAGCTCACGATGTGCAGACTGGCCACATGGTGGTTGATCAGCGCGTCCAGCTCGCCCTCGCGGAACACGTGATAGTAGCGATGGTGCGTGCTCGACCCGCCCTGTGAGGGGCTGTCCAGCGAGTTTGTGGAGCTGTTTGAGTGCTCCATCGAGTCGGTGGAATTACGCTGCTGGAACGGTGCCTGCTGCTGTTGCTGTGTTGCCGAAGGGTTTGCGCACACTGGCGAGGGGGTGCTGGGCGTGCTCTGCTTCATGGCCGCCATGTTGCGGCGCCGTTGTCCGTAGTCGTGCATTGAGGCGCCTATACCCTCGCCCAGCTGGTCCCCGCCACGAGCCTCGAGCGCCTCGGCATCTTCGTCCTCCTCCTCTTCCGGAATGACGTCGTCCTCGTCATCGCGCACATCGCTGTCGCCATCGTCCTGGAGGAGGTACGCTGTCTCTGGGTTGAGCTGGTAGTGGCGATTCCGTTTGTAGTTGAACTTGGAGATCTTGCAGTGCTCGTAGATGCCCAGCGAATAGCTGGACTCATTCTCCTCCTCCTCTTCCTCTTCGCCATCTTCCTCTTGGATGGTGAAGCTGCGGGTCTGTGACGAGAGCGAGGAGGTGGAGGAGGAAATGGGTGACTGCTGCAGGCTGGGCTGCGTCGAAAGATTGACCAGCATCAAGCGACGCTCTCGGAGCTCATCCCTGAAAGCACTCAGTTCGCCATTCGAGCGCTTCTTGGCGCCGCCCAAGTACTCGGAGAGATCTCCGATCCCATCCAGGGACCGGCACTCGGCCCGATTGCTCTTGTCCTCCAGCTCCCGCTGCAGCTGGGCCGTCAACTGCTCGGCGAACTCGGCGCAATCCTGCGTCTGGCCCGACTCCCGCTTCTCCGGCAGCAGCGTAGCACTGTCCGCATTGAGAATGATGTCGTCGTTGGCATTGGGCACAGCATTATTGATCTGCAGCTCTCCCTTGTGGTACTGCTCCTGTTGCCGACTGATTAACTGGGCCAGGCTGGGCTCACGCTCTCCCTCGTCCTGGGAGGCGGATGTGGAGGCATCTCCCCCATCGCCGCCACTGCCAGTTGCGATCTTTGCCGAGCGAGGGGCACTGATGACGCTGTCAATTGAGTCCGGCGAGGAGGGCTCACTGGAGTCGCTGTCCAGGTCATCAGTGGCCGGATTGAAGAGCTCCAGAGAGAGCAACCTGCTAGCCAGCGAATGGGCAGAGGCAGATGTGGACACACCCGATCCAGAGGCTCGCCTCACAATCGGAAAATTCTGGCGTTGCAGTTGCAGGGATTGTTGCTTCCGGAACTTGGGTATCGGCGGCAGGTCCCTGATTGTCTGACGCGTGATTTTGTGGACCGTGTGGGTCGGCAGCTGAGGCTTGGGCTGCGGCTGCGGCTGAGGCTGTACCTGCTGCTCCTTCTGCTGCTCCTTCTGCTGCTCCTTCTGCTGCTCCTTCTGCTGCTTGATGTGGGCCTCGTCGAAGCTGAAGCGTGCCGGCTTCGTGGGAGGCGTCAGTATGGCCATGGCCGCCGACACAGCGGCTGTGGACTGTGGAGGCGACGTCACTGCTCCCTGTATGGCGGCCGGGGAGTGCGCCGGAGTCGGAGGGCAGGGCATAATCAGCGGAGATGTTGGCACAGAGTGAGTGGGCGGCAGTCGGAAGTTGGGATGGGTGGTACCTTGTGGGTGAGCAGCTCCAGTTGTCCCCCCACTCACGACTTTTCCGTTGCTGGAGGAGGAATTGCTCGAGCTGGAATTGGAGTTCTGGTGCTGCTGCTGGTAGTTCAGCTGCTGCTGGTGCTGCTCCGGCTTCGGTATGAAGATGACCGAGGCGAAGCTGTCTTCGGACTCGATGCTCGTATCCGACTGGAGGCTGCTGTCCTTGGAGGAATCCGAGCCGGATTCGCGGGAGTGTCGTCTGGCCTTGGCCTGCTCACTGTCCGCACAGGCGAAGCACTCCTGCTGGTACTGGCTGCAGTGGCAGATGTTCCCCAGGCTGCAGTCCACGCTGCTGCAGTACGTCACAGGACCGGCTGCGGGTCCGGGTGCAGGAGATGTGGCCGTGTTCGACAGAATCAGGTGCGACAGGTGGTGCTGTAGATGGTGGTGATGATGATGATGGTGGTGCTGATGCCCTGTCCCTGCCGGCACTGTGGCCTGCTTGTTATTGTTGTTTGTGGCAGTCTTATCCGCCGGAGCTGGGGTCTGGACCGGATTCGAGGGCGTCTGGGGCGCACTCTTGATGTTCTGGATCAGCTTGTTGATGCCTGTCTTGGTCACCCGCTCCAGGCTGCCCGTAGAGCTCTTGATCTTGGTGGTGAATCCCTCGCGGATCACCTGCAGCCGCTTGGAGAACATGGCCGAGCGACAGAGGAAGGCCTCGTTCAGGGAGGTCTGCTTCTGGATGCGCTTTCGCACCCGTTCCTTCTCCCGCAGCCGGTTGCAGGCCATCAGCTCCTCATTGAGGGAGCTCTGCTTGCGCAGACCGGCGGCACTGCCTCCAGGTCCCACTCCCGCTGGCGTTCCTTTAGTTGCTGTCGGGGGAGAGGCCACCGACGAGGCGTGCTGGTGGAAGTTGGAGGCATAGCAGCCGCTTCGCGTGTACAGGCTACTGCTGACTCCCCCGTTGGAGCTGTTGTAGCTGCTCATCATTTGTAACGCCTCTGAGGTAGGGGGCGTAGATGGGTCGGACGGAGCATCTTCCTCGCAGAGCGACTGCTTCTGCTTGATGAGCTTGGGCCGGCGACTGAGCGTGTTGCCCGCACTGGCGGTGGCAGTCGGAGAGTGCCGGCCATTGATCTGTTGTCCCTCGGGAGCGTTGAGCAGGAGAGCGGCCGCACTGGCCTTTGTCTCACCCGGAATTAGGGGACCCCCGAGGCTGGGCACACTCGAGCGGGAGCGGACAATCTGCCGGGGCGGCGGCTGCAGAATGCTGCCCAAGCTGCGGGACTTGAGGCCGGCGGACAGAGGTGGATCCGGCGGAAAGTCTTCAAAGTCCTCCAAGCGACGCAGTTCGATGGGCAGATCCTTGGCATCCTCATAGTCCAGGCTACTGTCGTTTTTGGTGTCCTTGGAAGACCACGAGTCCATGAACCAGGCATGACGACGTCCACGGGCCAGTTTCTGCAGCAACAAATGAAAGGTTGATTCCTTTTCTAGATTGTCTTATGGGGTCGTAATCGTACCTGAATGGCTCGTCGAACGAAACTGTAGCAGGACTCCCCGGGCGAAGATGAACTGAGACTGGAACTGTCGCCATCTCCTGCCGAGCGGCTGGAGTTCGTCGAGTCCTCCGTGTAGGCGTGATAGGGCGGCTGACAGTTGTCATCGTCCTCTTCATCAGAATACGAATAATTGCGATTCTTGGGTGGCTGCCACGGTATGAGCACATCCTGCGACTCAAAGCGACGATGACGCTGCTCCAGCGCCCACACAGTTATGACCACACGGCCGCCAATTCTCAGTATCCTGGCCAGCTCCCTGAGGGCCTGGACGCGTCTCTCGGTCGTAGCAAAGTGGTGCACCACGGCCAGGGAGAGCACGGCATCGAAGCTATCATCGCGGAACGGCAACTCCAGATTGTCGCACAGAGCCACCTGCGCAACGAAAGCAAAGCAAAAAATATGAGAATGAAGGAATGAATCCAGTAGGGAATTTGAACTCCTAGCCAACCCCAGGACGGGGCATCATGCCAATTAGGTTACGCAAATGCCTTCGTAGGAAACTCTTTGAAACCGGAACAGTCACATTCATAGCCTCCTCCTCTGGGGTCCTTCTCGCAAAAGTATTCAATTTAAAATTGTGCTGCAGCTGCAAGAAGCACGACCAGGGTATAGAGGAACAGATAAGACAGTGTTTCCGAGGAGGAGTAATGCAATTTTAAGCTCTGCCGCTGGACAAGCAATTGCTTTGGGGAGTGTTGACAAAGGGTTCGTTTGCGACTAAGGCCATTTGCATATCAAAGCGGTTCAATATCATTGTATAATCCCTATTCGCTTTACAGTGCGCGCTCGACAGAGAGAACTGTCTTGAACATACACACAAACATACACTTAAAATATGAACTACAGAAAAACATTGTTACTCAAGGTCTCAGGGTCTTATCGCCCAAGGAAATTTATAAATTTATTGCCGGATCCTCCTTGTAAAAAAGGTACAAAACTGTGTCATATGTGAATTCCTTTTCCGAGAGTGGACTGTAATCCCTAAACCTTGTCTACAGAATTTTACAATTAGTAACTTTTTGGGGCCCAATGTGGGGCGGAAGAACAAACCGAGTCAATACCTTTTTCAGGATTGCAAATTGGCAGTTGGTTTTTGTCAATTTGTTATTCTTTGTGTGCATAAGGAAACCTTAAAAACTGACCAAACATGACAAGGCCCCACCGCACCTGACCTGACTCAACACTGAAATAATATATAATGCTTTTGCCTCCCTTGATTCATGTTTACATCGATGCACGCCATTTATATTCATTTGCATGTCACGGCCAGACCTCGATAGCACCGTGATGGTGTGAATTACCCTGGCAGAAAAAGAGGAAATGCCCAGCGAAAGGTATTTATTTGCGAACAGATGAAAAATTGGCGAACGTGTCAAATTGTAAATCGATTTAGCTGGCTCCATCAAGCAAATACATTTTTGCATTGGCAAAAACTATTGATTGACGAAACTAATTTATGTTGTCTAACAGATTGATAAATGAAATATGCGAAAAACGCATACGTCCATCCGTTTGGATGCTGTGGTTGTGTTGTGTCTGTGCTTCTCTCACTGATAAAATAGCAATTTATTTGCTTCAATCTATGGCTCTAGGATTATCACGAATAAGAGTTCTGGTATATTCTCTCTCTCGCTCACTGTGTATTTGTCTGCAAAATGAAAAAGCCTTGACCCAACTTTCTGTGAGTTTTCTACCTGTTCTGGGGCTGTGCCCTGTGCCTGACTGTGAGTATGAACCTGCGAGAGTCTTCAGCAAATATCAATTAACAAAAGTGTTTCCAAGGCCTGAGATGTCGATAGAAGCATAGAAATTACGACAATAGGCGAAGCTGAAGAAATGGTTCCCCCAGCTGAACGTTGGCTCCCATAAAACCGATTTGAATTGCATTTTCACTGCAAATATTTAACCTTTGCTGCAGAAAATGCTTCCTCAAAACAGCAGGACCTCATGTATTTTAGGTGAGCAAGGATTTGAGTTATATGTATGATGTCCGCCCCATGGACATCGCTCATTCTGCATTGCAATACGTAACCATTCATCTACTACAGCCCCCTAAGCCTTTCTGCATTCTACATTCTATAGAAGCCGTTCTCTGCCTCCACCGCTTCTCGTTCCAATGTCCAAGATGGGATGAATGCGTTCGCTAGCATTTTTATTTTGCCCTCTCCTTTTTCTCTGCCGTTTTTGCTAGCCAGCGATGCGCTTTACAAATCATATTTATAGCAGGCAGTCGCCATTTTGTACACACACAGGCATACATGCAGGCGAGTGCTTTGTGGGTGTGTAATGTCACACGGGTCGGCCATCGCATTACGCTTTTGAAATTTATGGTGACAAGGTTTTCTCCTGGCGGAGAGTGTCGCGCCAGGTGAGAGTGAACCATGTTACGCATACGCTGCGTTGCACGCTAATGAAGCCAAAGCCGCTCAAAGCTCCAAGCTAGAACATACAGACAGATACAGACAGGAGGGGCGAGGAGAACGGGGGGCAGCAGAACTCTGGGCTAAAAGAAAATACTTATATTTTATGCACTTCCTCTTTGGCCTCCTCGACTTGCGGCTTATTTAAATGGCGCTTAAGCCAAGAACGGCCCCTTGAGCCGTCTCTTCTTTTCTCCGTTTGCTCCTTTCGCCTGCTGAAAATTGCAGGTTTCACCTGGCCCAAAAAAGTGTGCCACAAACTACCAGCCCTTTCGTGTGGCCCTTTCGTTATCCTCTTGCAAGAAATCTGGCTGCGCTTTCGCTTTCCGCTCTTATTGAGTTTTACTTTTTTATGTTTTGCGGCTGGGCCTGCCCCTTTTATGCGCCATTTTGGGCGGGGCTAAAATTTATGAGCCTCGAGCACAGCACAGGATCTCCCGCTGTGTGCCACCATGTGTGATTGTTGCTGCTTTCTGGCTTATTGGCTTACAAAATTATTGAAAACCAGGCCATGCACGAGTTGCTGAAATCAAAGTTCCTGCCAGTAAAGTGCAACTTCCAGTCTCCGGCCAAAGTTAAATTGGTTTTGCATAAAGTTTACGTTTCGCAGAAAGAACTTTCATCTGCTTGCATGTCACGTCTGCATTGGGGTGCCTTTGCATTCGAGTTTATTTTAAACACATTAGGTAAATGGCAACAAAGCCAGTCAGAATCCCTGCAATTGAATGTGATTGCACTCGCTGTTTTGTGCATAGACAGTGCCTGTTTGCACTGCCAGCAAAAGGGATTAGAAACGCATGCAAATAATTGGCTAAATGTCAAGGACTCGCAATCGACCTCCATACCAATCGGGAGGCAATCAGAGCCACGTTGTCAGGGCCTGATAATGTGACAGGTTATTAAATAAATTAGACCATTTATAGTAAATGGTGGGCGAATGGCTGCAGCTGTAGAGCGGGCTCTTCGCAACGGACTCGGACTATCTGCGGCTGCTGTTTCGCCCTCGTCAATCCCACGCACTGCCTCGGCAAAAGCAATTTAAATGCGAAGAATGCGTGTTGTCGATTATGGTGGCATCGCCAGGGTGTGATGGTGCACTTCCCAGGGAATGCATTTCTTAGTAAATGGTATTTTCTTCCCGGGAAATGGCAGCATAAATAACCGAAGTGATGTGGAGCCCGGCGCGCCACTAGTAATAGATTATTGCAAAAAGCGTTGCATACCTCAGGGCGGGCAACTGAATAATGGCCCGCGCAGGAAGGGGGGGTTGTGCTTCTGTGCGGGCGGTGCGGTAACAATTTATAGTTGTTCGCTGTAAAAGGAAATGTTGTGGGCAGCCAGCAGTAACAGCGGGAAAAACAGAAATAAACAGAAACTATGCGGAATGGTTGTGTCATTGTTAAGTGAATATAGAGCTCGGGGGGAAAACTTTCCCTGTGTAATGGTTAATGTTCATTGCGACCTCGCAGAGGGTATTACATACTGGGCAGAAGTTTTAAGCGGAAAAGGGACTCTATAAATATACATATATATACTAAGCATTAGAGTCGCCCTTTTTAGATTTTTATTTAGAGAATATGATATTTGGAGAATAGAACCCACCATCAATTGCTTTTTATACACGAAGGTAGGTTGCTCTGTAGGTTTTCATTTCATTCCTTTCGAGTTTTTTCTACTACGATCAACAGGCTAGTCTACTGACTTCGTTTAAATGTCGTCTCTCAATTATCTTTGAAATCATCCTTTGAGTTTTCTGTGCCAATAATTTATACCTTTTACTCTTATTGCGAGAGCGATGTGTACATTTATTGCGACTTAAAATTGCAATTAAAACATTTTCCCAATAGCAAATGGGAATATCTTATATTGCCAATATCGATTTATGTCCCATTCAAAGTTGGTCAATTGGAAACTTGCAAATTGCATCTGCAGCAACTCGGGCTTCGAGCTGGCTTGAATGCTGCGCAGCAATTATGCAACGTTTGTGCCTGCAATGGAACTGCAGTTTATTATATCCCAGTAGCACACTCGCCCCGCCTTTGACTGCTCTCCAACGACTCGCTTTACGGCGCCCTTGTGGACCATTGCAATTACAGAGCATTAAAAACTCCCAATGCAACAGCAGCCGGGCATGTGGAAATAATTCCCAATGATAAGCATAATTTATGCGTGCTGCTAATGGCCAACTCAAGTGGAGCAGCAGAATTTGAATCAAGTGAATGTTTTATGGCTGTGGAAGAAGCCCTCTCCCTGCCTCCCAGTCTTCCTGTGTGTGTGTGTGTGGCTTGTTAATGGAAAATGGGTCAAAAGCATGGCTAGGACCTGCGCCAAGAGAGTGCCATGAATAACACGACCACGACTACAAGCTCTCAAATACAATTAGCACCGTGTACCTGCAGGGCACAACACACACACACACACTCGTGACTCCAGACCCCAGAACCAGTACTCACCTCTCCGCCCTTCTCGTGGGCCACTTTGCTCAGACGGTAACACCGCTCCACGCCAATTGTGCAAATTGCCGGATTGCACTGTGTGAGGTAGCGTCCGCTGCCACAGCCCACGTCGCACACCACGGAGCCCGGTTCCAGGTTGCTCAGAAAGTGCGCCATACGTGGCCGCACTGGGCCCGTGGGCTCCTCGCAGTGCTCGTACACATCGTGGACGTAGGCACGCTCCAGAGCTGCCGAACGACCGCTGGCATCGTTACTTATGGTTGCACCTGAAGATGGTGATGTTGCTGTTGCTTGTGTCAAACTCTTTGTCGCTTCAACTGTCAGAGTGGAAGGTGTGCCAGCTGCAGGTCCTGGACCTGCTCCTCCTGCTCCTGCTGTTTCGATTGTTGTAGAGGCTGTTGGTGATATAACTGTGGGCGCCAAATCCCCCGTTTGGGTTATGCTCGATGCCGCATTGGTTGCTGTGGCTGTTGTCAATTGTTTGGTCATTGTTGCTGTTGTTGCTGCTGTTGTTGTTGCTGCTGCTGCTTCTGATGTTGATGTGTAGCACTCTTCAAGTGTTGTTGACAGGGAAACTTCATCTGCAGACGGAAAATGGAGAAAAGAAAAGGGATTTTGCATAAATTTGTACTCCTTTTAACCTTCCACAGATCAGGAAAGAGATACTATAAAAGGAGCATGACATAGCTGTTAATTGCGTGTTTGAATTTTTCAGAATATTCATTAAAATTAGCGTAATTGAATTCCTAGAAATCTAACAACCTATCCTCCTCTGTCGAGTGGGCAACTGCAATGCAATTTATAATCTGCCAAGCAATTTGTATAATTAAGGCGATTGCCTGACTGAATGCATGCCATAAAGTCAATTCAAGACTTTCTTCTTGATGCATGCTGAAACAGGAAAAAAAAGCCAAGAAATAAAGCAAACAATACTCGTATACGTATTGGTTGTTGCTGCTGTTTGCTGCATGACATCAAGTCGTAAAATCGCTAGAACAACGTCAGCAAAACCCACACTGAAGCCCACACACTCACGCCCGTGCATGGCCATGCAGTGGCCGATGGAAAATGAAGTTGCATACCGGAAATGTGGAAACTGTTCTGAGCTCCCATCGGTGTTGACATTTTATAACTGAGTTTCCGGTGGAAGTTTTCGCCTCAGTTTGAATGGAAATTTTAACGCCGTTGGCTCTTTGGCATCGGGCCACTGTCGGACCTAATAAATTGCATTAAAAAGCCGTTGCACAGAGGGAAATTACCCGGCGGGGGCAGCCCTAGTGGGCGGAAAAGTGTGTGCCAAACGACATTAGTAGCGCAGTGGAATGCAATTATAATTGAAATCTGATTAAAAGCAGTTGTAGTGGCAACAATGACACAGCATTCACAGCATAGCCAGGGCGGAAAAAGTGGGAGTTACCGTGGAAGTGGGACTAGGAGCTGGAGTCTGTGAGTAGGTCATTTCCAAAGGGTGTTAATGGGTTTCCGCCCGTTTTGTGTGTGTGTGGGTGTGGCTGGGACTTGGTGTTTGTCTCAAAGATTGAGAGGGTGTTAATATGCCCTACAAATGAGTTATAAATATGAGTACTTTATGACTTTTTCATGGCTTTTTAAAAAGGGCAGAGAGAAAAGAGAAGCCAAGAAAAGAGGGAACGAAGAACTGACCTAAACTCAAAGAGTATATAAACATAATTGCTGGATGAATGAAGTAACAAAAGGAATAATATACGCATGTATGAAAAGAAACTAACCATAGTCCATAGTACAAGAGCGCAACTATTACTTGATACTACTAAAAGATCAAAATTATTCTCTTTCAGCAGAATAGCGAAAACTTTATTCTATTCTATTCTAGTCTATATTACCTTCTTTCCATGATTCTTTAATGCCCTGCTTCCTCCAGATAAGAGCCTACCCATTCTATACATATTGTTAAATAATGAACAGCCATTACCCTCATCGGCCTTGTTGATTTGACCTATCCAACAAAATATTTCCCCTCAAAACAGGAAAACACACATACGCCGCGTGGTCCAAGCGGATGCTCACCTTTTGTTGGGCCGTTGCTGCGCTGATAACTCGCATTCAACAAAGCCGTCGACGACACCAGTTCCGACGATAACATGCGACAACAGACCAGATTGCCTATATAGGCTGATGATAAAGATGATGAGGATATAACGACGACGACGACGACGACAACGACGGTAATGAGGACGACGACGACGACGACGACGCGGACGTAGAGGATGACGGGAACAACAACGTCGCAGTCAGAAAATCAATGTGCATGCATAATTTAAAGTCGGTTGCGGCACTTGGACCCTTGACTTCGACTTCCACTTCGACGATGACTACCACTTATCCTTCAGGTTCGACAAGTTAGCGTTGGCGTTGGCGTTGGCGTAGCGCTGTGCGAGTGTGTATTTTTAGAATTTCGAAGCGGGGCACGTTTTATACGATAATTTGCTCAATTTATTTTTGAAATCTATCATTATAGCAACTACACGATGTAATTGCTATTGTTGTTGTCTGTTCTGTTGCTGGTGGCTGCTATTGCAAAGGACACGGGCATGGACACGGACGCGGACGCTCGCTTGTCTTGCCTTGTCTTGCCTTGCCTGCTTCGAGTTTGAGCCCACAAAATAGGATACACAAAATGATTTTCCACACTGCTCCGTTGTTTCTTTGCTTTGGCTCTGGCTCTGGCTCTGGATGTGGCTCCTGTCAATGCCTCTGGCATATGACGTTTCCTTTGTATGTGTGTCCGTGTGTGTGCGTGAGTGGTTGTTTGATTTTCTGCTTCTTATAGGCACTTTTCACTTGCACTTTTCTTCTCTTACTACTCCCACTGCGTTATCAACTTTCTCTCCAATTACTTTTCCATTATCCGATTCGATTCGATTCGATTTGATTTCTAGGAGTATGTTTAATTTCTAGGACACTGGCACTTGGCGCTTCAATTACATATACACGAATGGCTGTGTCTGAGTCAGTGTTCGTGTGCGTGTGTCTGTGTGCGTGCGAGGTCCTGTCTCAGTGTGTTTTTTGTTGTTTTTCTCGTGTCGGACAGCCGCTGCCGTGTCTGTGCTCTAGGAGTCAACGTCGCGTACTAACGCGAAAAGCCCATTGGACTCCAATCTGTTTGTTCAAGGATGTTGGTTGTGTATTCCATTCGCGAAAGCTTTCCACAACTTGACGAAAGCTTGCCGGAGCATGGGCAGGCCAGCACAGCACGTACAGCTGTTGAAAGAGAGGGAAAGTGATGTGGGTGAGAGAGTGTATCAGAGTGAGAGCGCAGTAACTGGAGCGGGAAAATTCGACAGTCTTTAAAAGTGGATTTTTGGATTTAAAAAATAGGATCAGAAGGGCTATTCGAAATATGCAAGTTTCTGTTAAAATTATGAAATGTTCTTTTATCTTAGTTCAATATACAGTGGATATTGGCTATATGCAATGAGTTCCTGAGTTCCTGAATACGCCATAGAGCTAAAATAACTTTGATTAGATTTTAAAAAGTTCCTGAGTAGTGTATGATATATCAGATAAGTGATTGATTAAATATAAAAATGCAGTTTCTTTGGATATAATTACATTATACTTGTAACTCTTTATTCATTGATTACCCTGCGTATGCGCAATATATAAACATTTCGCCAAAGATACCATAGAGATTTATTTGCCAGACAATCCTGTACCTCTATTTCTACATATTCTTCAAGTCTTTGTTGGAGGGGTCTTTAATCGCTTTCTATTAATAGCCAATCCTTGGCAATTAAATGGAAAAATTACAAAAAGAAATAAAAGCTCGAAACTCTTTTCTTTTGTTCGAGTGACGCGAGTTAGCCTGTCAAATTTCATGAATGAACCCTCAAGCGCATCTCAAGAAAAAGTCGAAAAAAACCGCAAAGAAAAGCCCTATGCACAGAAATAGGAGCTTCGTCAAGTTGGCCCACGAAATTGGGTTCTAAAATAGCCAGAGCCAGTCATGAAATAGGCGAAAAATAGCTCCACGAGTTGCCAAATGGCGCAAACTCTACCCGGAGCTCGTTGCTCTCTTTCTCGCCCGGTCTATGGCCCATTGGGTGTCTCTTTTTGTGGCATAGGCCAGACCGCGTCACGCTGCTCGTCGCCTGATTACTTTTGATGAATGAAAAGCTTTCTGTTTTGGCTCGCCGCTATCTGCGTGGCGTGTAGAGTGAGTAAAATGTGAGGAACAATTTCTTCCCTGCCCCCAGCCACAAAGCCTTTCGCTGTAGTTGTAAAACAGAGAAAGCCACTGACGTCCTGGCCCCATGCATAGTAAAAGCTTGCTTACAGTGTGTGTGCGCTCGTAGCTGTATCTGTGTCCGTGCCTGTGTGTGTCGGAGTGGAGTGGGTGGGATCCCGAGCGTCACATGTCTTTTTTGGGCGGCATGACTAATATAAGCAAATGCCTAGCGCGTCGCAGGATCTGCCGTACATTTGGCGACATGCCAGTGCAGATACGCATTCTTGGCTAAATGTGTCTGTAACTGGTAATGGCTGCTTTTTACCGGCAGATACGGCCAAGGGGTTTGCTGATGTCGTCACTGAACCGATAGAATCATACAGCGTAGAGTGTGAGTGTTTTCATTGTTCATTTTATTGCTTCGAGCTTGTATTTTTTGGTAGAAACGAGGGGGAACGTTGTGAGTTGCTGCGGCGACCGCAACTCTACATTTATACCCGATACTTAGTCAGTATGGCTCTCCTCCACCAGACGGCGCTAACATTGCACGACACGACAAAGAGTGCGTGCGAGAGAGACAGAAAATCAGTCTGAGCGTGGCTATAATAAAAATCCGATCCGATCCAGATTCGGAAATCTGATAGATATAGTAAGCGGTTTGGGCGAAAGTTTTGAAATATACATACATTTAATAGTGACATAGTGTCATATTACAGAAGTTTGGATACAAAATGTCGTTGCTCTAGCTCTTATAGTGTTTGAGCACTAGGCGCTCATAGGGACGGACTGACGGACAAACGATTCCTTCTGGACGTTACACACATCCATTTTCACCACAAATCTAATATACCCCTATACTCATTTTGAGTATCGGGTATAAAAAGAGACTAGAGAAACAAAGGCAAACGTTGCGTATGACAGATTGAACTTTGGCCTCATGCTTGGAACCCACCTCCACCTGCTTCAACGATTCAACATTTGCAAGATGTTGCTGTTTGTTCACTGTGGGCGGTAAACGTCATAGCTTTTGACGTGGTTGTGTCGCAGCTCGTCTAAATTTGACTCGAATTGGAAAAAAATAGAGAAACTTTTCGGCATTCTCGAAATCTCAAACAACCCCGAAGCGTCTCGAAAACAACAATGGATGCTGCTGAAATCTCTTGTAGTTGATTCATTGTTTATCTTGTTTTTGGAGTTATTTATTCTAATAATTTAAAGGTGTATTTTAAAAATTCAGTGCAGATTTATATTGTTAGAATTAATAATCATAAATAAATAAAATATTTGTTGCTGGTCTTAAAATTTCTTTACAAATTTCTGGAACATGTGTATGTACAAATATATGCATTTGAATGTGGTATGTGTGTGTTTGGTTTCGGCACACGCCTGGCATCTACCGAATGTGCCATCATTAGTTTTGTCATAGTCATAAATCATGCGCCCTCCTTGAGCAGCAACCGTAGCCGGCAGCACGCCAAGGATGGCTGGATGGCCGGATGGCAGAATGGCCGGATAGCAGGGAAACATACACGATATGGCTGCATTGCTAATAAAGTCACGTAGCAGAGCTTTTGACAGTCAAGTGTCACATGCTCCGGCTACAATCCTTGGGGTATGGCCATTATTATACGCTGCTTAACATGTCCAATTATAGAAGAACTTCTTGGAATCAAACCAAGGAACTCCGTAAGATTATCCCATTTAAATCTGTTTCCTTCAAAATAAATTTAATTGCGAGAACTGTACACAAAATTGGGCTGAAAATTATGCCAAAACATACGCAAGGACAAAACGCGTCGGACATACAAATAAACGCGAATATTGTGAACGGAAAATTTCCTTTTGTTTAGTTATCTGCGCGCTGAAATCGTGCTGAGCCCCAAACAGAGCGCTGGAGAGGTATAATGGGCAGGCAGGCTGGGAGAGAGGCGTGCAAATCCTTGTCCTTGGCTGGCTAAGACATTTCCTTTCTGTGTATTTCTCTGTCAGTAAATGAAGTGCAAATTATGCCAACGGCCAGGCCAGGCCAGGCCAGTGCACGGAAAAGCGCAGAAAACAAAGGCGCTGAGCAAGCGCCTACACACTTGCGCCGAAAAGTATGCAATACATTTTGTGTAAACATGGAAACGGAAATGGGTAAATGCGAAGAGGAAGCCTGTGGCTATGAGGACGATGGGGGCTTGGGTGGGATTACATGGCAAAGCATAACTTTATTGAGGTTGGCCTGGATCACACCTCCCTTATGCCCTTCTCCTGCCGTACCGAATGGCTTGCGCGTGGCATTGTCAGCAAAATCGGCGCCATTTTAAATGGTCGCGTGTGGTCCGTAGTTTGTGGCAACCTCGGATTGGAGCATGCCCCTTATGGTGGGAAAGCCGCATGGCTCCACATCTTGTTGCGCCTTTGTCCATGTACCACGGTCAATGTTCGAGGTCTGGCCAATGCCAGCCTGACGTCAGCGGCCTCCAAAACCCGACTCCACTCCATCCAGCACAAACTCCACAGCGACCCAAGGCCAAACAAATGGGCGTCCAATGTCGCGTGACGCACAAGGATATTGAGTCCTTCGATTGTTGTTGCTGCCGTTTTTCTAGCTTAGATGAATTTCTTTTGGCTGGCAAGTCTTACGAGCATTGTTTGCCTTGTCACGTGTTTGCTCAGCCAATTAGAGTTATGGTGAGACAAAAAAACGGCAAAATGGCAGAGCTTTCGAAGGAAAGCTTTCACTTAGTGTGGGTATGAACCTTGATAGAGAACTTTCTGGTGGATGACAGTAGCGGCACGGTTAAATGGGGATAATGGGCCCATTTGAGGGCTAATTTATATTTATTTATTCCAATCGTTTTCACCTGTGATTTCTTTGGTGATTTAGAGGGTTGTAGAGATATGGCAAATGGTTGGTAAAGCATTATTACGATGAGACTAAAATTACACATAAATATGATATGTTTTCGGCATAAATGGAGTCTCGCTTGCCCATTGACCATATTCTGGTTTAACATATAAAATCGGATTGGTTTTCACTTATTTTATTTATTATTTTCTTGTAGTATCTTGGTTCGTCAATGATTAAAGTTAAAAGATTGTTAACAAACTGAATTCCCGTTCTCGGAGCTTTGACTAGAAGGCCCACATGAAGCAATACAACATCACTCGGAGTACAGCGGAGCTAGAATCGTGTGATCTTGTTGCTTTCGGGCGATGGAGGCAGCGAGGAGAGCGATGAACGCGAAGGACTATGCTGCGGTCGAGGTGGAGGACGTTGGGGATTGATGTTGGCATTGGCCTGGCGGAGATTGGCGAAGAACTGCTGTCGTCGTGGCCCACCGCCACGCAAGGGTAACGTTGGGATCTCGCTGGGCGACTGATGGTTCATCTCCTCCTGCGAACAGTGACGCATGGCGGGATTCACGCACTCATAGACGCTCTAGAATAAATTAAAATAAAGAGTATTTATACAATTAAATAGATATTTCTATTGACACACACCTGCTCTGAGGAATACTGATTGTTTTGGGCAAATGCCAGCGAGGTGAGCGATGGCAGGGCCTGGGCAATGTCCGAGCGTTCTATACCGCGCACAATTAGAAAAGAGCGCGGTATCAGAATGCCCACAAGTACGGCCCAGCCCGAGGCCTGCAGTCCCAGCGGAATGGCAGCATCCCTCCACTCGTCGCCGAACAGGGAGAGGACAATCCAAGCGACCCAAATGACCAAGATGAGAATAGCCCCGATGACAATGAGTATGCCCTCGCGATAGTTGCGCTGCGAGCGATATATGAAGGGGATCAGGGCTGCCACGCAGCAGAGCAGCACAAAGTCGTAGGACAACAAGCCCCACAGCCAGTGGCCATAGTAGAGATTCTCGCAAGACACCGCCTCCGAGGCCACATGCATCACGACCAGCAGCTGTACAGACATCCCCACCTGGACGAACACGCTGAAGGCACAAATCACGGCTTGTATATAACCGTTGACGTGGGACAGGAAGCCACCTTCAGACCCAGTGGAGGCCAGCATCAAAGCCCTGCAAAGAAGCAGCGAGAACACAAAGCAGTATACCAGAGACATGATGAACACCCGAACCGCACACAGCGTGTTGAGGGTCTGAGCATCCTCGAAGGTTACGTGGGAGTTACGCTGCTCACCCACATACTCAATGGAGAAGGGGACAAACGAGCAGAAGACCAGGATCAGCGAGAGCAGCAGGAGGATCGAGGTCACTGGATTGCCTTCGAAGACATCGCCCACCGAAATGCGCACCACAATGAACACCAAAATGGCCAGCGTGGCTATCAGGCCCAAGATGGCGGCCGTCAGTCCCGTTGCCACCCAAGTGTCCACTTTGAGGCGCCAAAACATGACCGACTCGCCGTCGAAGAGGAACGGATAGCGCCGGTTGTCACCAGCACTGTACTGACAATTGAACACCTGACCGAACTTCGTCTTCAGCTCCAGGCTAGTGCTGTTGTCCCGGTTGTAGTGGTAGTAGGTGGTCACGTTGCTCACTAAGTTTTGCGAGGCGATCTCCCGAAGCTCCGTGCGGGACTCCCCGGTGATCTTGTCGAGGGTCTGCACCTTCTTCTGGTACATCTGGAAATTCATGGATGTGGTGAGCTTGCGCATAAGCAGCAGCGACAGAATCTCCGCAGTCTCATGCGCCTGACGGTACTCGGACGTGCGCCAGTCTTCGATGAAGTTGAGGAAATTAAAGCAGCTCTCCAGCACATACATTTCCCCATCCCGTTTGCAGTGCTTGGCCAGCGAGCCGCGCAACCAGTGCATCAGATCCACCAAAGGATCGGCAAAGCTGAGAACTCTCGAGGGCAGCACACTCTTCCCGATCAGCACCTCGTCCAGGGTGGTTGGCGTGGGGTCCAGTTCGCTGGTGGTGCCCAGGTCTATTTCGTTTTCCATCAGAATGAAGGCTTTGTTGGGAAGATCTGTTGAGAAGAAAAGGGATGAGAGATTTTTAAATTTAATTAGCTCATTTTCGTCTCTAGAGACTAGAGACTAGACTTTACGTCTTTCAAATTTAATTAATATCAGCTGGTACAGGGTATCAAACAGTCGTTATTTCGACTATAGAAATCTCCAAGGCATTTTTCTTTGTATTCACCTGCCAAGAACTCATCATCCGTGCGGTCGGTGGGCACCGCAAAGAGGGTTCCATTCTCCTTAAAATGGCTCGCCATCTTGTTGCCAAACAAAATGTAGACATTGTCGTCGCTCTTGAAGTGCATTAGGCACATGTGCTCCTGACGGGCGGCCTCCATGAATTCATTGTACATCTCCAGATTCTCGGTTGCAATCTCAACGGATGCTATTTTCTCGCCCCAGGGCATCTGATGCAACAAATGTGCCACCTTGGGGAAGAGGTAGGCGCGAGTTGCTGATATGGGCCAGATATTGTACTCGAGGTCCTTGATAACTGACTCGAGCTGCTTGTACAGTTCAAAGTCCATGAAGATGCCCATGGAGTACTGAGTGCACTGCTGCAGATATTGAACCTCCTGCAGGAGAATGCTCTCGGCCAGACTGTCGTTATCAATATTGATGGCACGAAGTCCTAAGGATAAGGAGGGTATTTTACAAGTTATTTCACAATCTGTATGGATGGTTCACCTATTTCAAAATCTGCATTTATGAGATTCGCTTGGTTCACTCGGTTGACTACAAAGAGGGCCGAGATGGGATCCTTGGTTAAGACACTGAGCATCACATCGCCCTCTATAATCTGGACGAATTCATCTTGACTTCGGATGAGGGTTCCCTCGTCCGGACTGTTGATTGTCAACTGCAGTCCATTGAGACATATCTCTGGCACTAAGCTGGCTGTTGTGCCACTGCTACTCCCACTGCTGCTGCTCTCCTCCGTTGTGGATGAGATAAGTGGGGCCAGCAGGCCCTCACCCGGACTGGAGGAGGCTCCGTCATCGGTTGTGGGCGCTTCCGTGGTGGTGGTTGCCTTGGATGTGCTGCTGCTTGGCTTCGGCTGCGGTGACGTTGGTTGTGGCTTGGTGATTCGCAGAGGAGCAGATTTCCTGGTGGGTGATGATGACACCTCCACTCCATGGCAATCGAAGATACAGAGTAGTGTGATTAGGACACAGAAGAAAACTAGATATTGATAATGAAATGTTGTCGTTAAAAGTATGTATTCTACAACGCATTAAATTATTTTATAGTAGACTCGTGGAATGAATGTAATTTCTTTATGTAAATGTATAAGTGGCCTCTTAAGTGGTCGCCATTATCCCCTCCTCTTGCTCCATTGCTCTCCATTTCTTTGAAGCTCTTTTCCATTCTTCTTTCTTTGTGCAGTACTCACCCAATTGTAATGGCCTCCTCGAACCATACTGCCACGGACTCATGACCTTCCTTCTTACAGTAGTATGCTTTTTAATTTCACAAAAAATGCTCGTCGATTTTTTCAGTCTTTGTCTCTTTTAACATTTACGGATAATTATTAGCATTTTATATCCACACTAAAAACACAGAGAGGAAACTTTAAGTTTGGATTTGACAATGAAACACACGAGTGGCAGGCAGGCAGGCAGGCGAGTGCTGGTTGAACACGACTTTGAATCGTTATGCGAACTTTTGCAGAATCCTAATTTTAGCTATTGTCACTTTTCCTTGCCACTTCAACCATTTGCCGCCGCTCTGTGCCGCGTTGCGTTGAGAGTGTTGCACTTTAATCGCATTAAAAATTGTCACACTAACACAGAGACAGAGAGAGAGAGAAGGAGAGTCTTTGGCTTGGCACAGTTTCCTCGCCGCCGCTTTTCCCGACTCTTCGTGATTTTTCCACACTATCAGTGTAAAGTAATGCGGTGGAAAATATTTCTTTTTCTCATATTCTTTCACTTCTGCGGTGCGCCGTGAAAGAAAATCAATAGTATTTCTTTTAGCAAAATTCCTTATTTCACTTTTTCACATCGATTCGCGCACTCTTGTTGCTACTGAACCATCTGACAGTGTGGGCCACATTAATTTCGGTTTGAGCCAAGGCAAAAAACAGCAAATAAAAAGAATAAAAATGTTGGAAACGCCTCAGTGATTTTAGGGTCAATTAAACGTTTCACGTTTTATATTTGTCCACTGAGGTACGCAGCCCCCACAGACACTGCTGTATGTATTTTTTCGTGATCGTTCTGTGGACAATCAATTTGATTTGGGTGCAGTGCATTGCAATTGCTGGACAAAAGAGTACAGAATGAACGCTGCAATTATGTTCTATTGGCTTTTTTTATTCCATTTCTGTTTTTTTTTTCTCCGCTTGAACCCACCCTCGAGGCAGGCAACACGGAACACGGAACACCGATGTGGCAATGTTTTGCACCTGTTTTGGCTGTTTTGTTTTGACTAACTTAACTTAGACCGGGCACTGGCTCGTTGTTATGGTTATTGGCTCGAACCGTCACTCAACATTGAGTGGTTTCCTCGCCGCCACACTGTGCCGTGTTTCATAATTATAAGAACAAATATGTACGGCACCGTGCAACGCAACAACCCCTGATACGAACCGAGCCTGCCTCGAAGCCAGTTCAAATATTGGTCATTGCAATTAGTCGATTCATTGAAGAAAGTTTCGGGTTGCACAAGCGAAGGGTGAAAGGTGGGTGGCCTGTCATAGGTGCTCGTGGAGAAGTAATTATAATTGGAGAGCCTTTGACAGCATTCCCAATATTACCAATCAAAGTTTACGCTTCGAACAAGCAGCTAGAATACCCCTAGAAACGGTCATCCTTGGCTATTAACCAACCACAGAGACAGGCAAACAGACAGACAGTCGGACAGGCAGACAGACAGACAGACCTGAGCTTTGACATTGGCAAAGTGCGGACTACAGTATGGCGCATTTCCGGTTTTCGGGCTTTTGCATAACACTTTTAATTAATGTCAAAAGCAACAGCAGTCGAAAAACTACAAATTGCATTTAGTCACTTTCCTCTCCCCACGGGAATGTTGCGTAAGTTTAATTCACAAAGCTCTGTCCCGGCTGTCAGAAAGTCCACTTTTAATTACTGTTTGGGGGCGAATCGAGGCAATTTTCAGGCACCACTTGCTAGTTTTTTAGTGCAACTTTTGTAATATTCAAAAAATAAATTGCACTCTGAACACACGCACCAATATGTCGCCTCTAGACCACGTTCACGTCCCAACTGTTTTTGGTCAGCAGCAGAGGTGGAAGAACTGGCAGAACTGGCCGAACCGTGGCCGCCGTAAGCCCATAAAAATGCAGCTGCAGGTTAACCAGGGCCGGGCTAAGGGTTAGTGGGGGTAGTTGGGTCTTGCTCTTCACTCCTTCCACTCTTTAATATACGGCGCACAGAGGGAAAAAAACACTACGTGGAATAGCGTTGAATCCAAGTAATACTCGATAGTGAAAAATAAATGTTTCACCCAATATGAATCTGGAATTTCTCGTGCCATCTTAACGTGTTAGAAGAAGTATAGTTATAGACTGGTTCCATACGCTATATGTACACTCCTGATTTTTGTCAGTGCAGTTATTTATGTGTAGTTTTGGTGTCAGCTCGGGTTCAGCCTTATGTTATTTTTGCAGTCAATATAATACAGTTATTAGTGACACCAATGCACATTACTTGACTTCGACTGGGATTGGTGATTGGTGTGGGTCATATAGGTCAGCCAGTGTGCCGGGCTTAACACAAAATCAATTTGCTTTTTCTTGTATTTGTTATTACAATTTGGAACACTTGGAAATATAGATAACATGAATTTCTCCCTAATTTTAATGAATATTTTGGAAACTACCTAGAGAGTACTTTTTCTTTTCTGCTATGTCATTGAAACAATCGAAATTTTGTGGCAGCCGAATACAGTCTTAAAACAAATAAACTGGGATTGTACTCAGGAAAAATAATTAGAAAGACATCGATACTGTCTGTGCTTCTGATCTGGTGCGAGACTTCTTTTCAAGGGATGTGGTTGTAAAAGTGGTTATGGGTATGGATCTATTGCCCATCCCCGGCTCCATTGTTGGGCTGCCTGCGGAACGAGTTGACTGCCGCGGGCCCCCGAGAGGTGACCGCGCCTCTGGGGTACGGCATGCCACAGTCGTCGTCACTGCAAGAGGAAATCTCTTCGGAGGAGACCGGGAAGTCTTCCAATTCGGAGTAGGCCTCGTCCATGCTGTCCCCCTGCATCTCACACTCGTTTTCATCGTTAGTCTTCTTGTCCCTCTGAGAGCCAGAAGCGCTGCGGGGCGCAGCCTTGTTCTCGGCGCCCCCTAGTCCGGCATTCGATTTGGCCTTTGCAACCAAGCTTGCCTCCAGATTCGCAAACGCATCGGGTGGCATCTGGTTGCCCATATCGTTGAGCTGCATCTTTGTGCAGAAGCGTTGTATGTGCCCCAACACTTCGGCCACTTTCAGTTGCGAGGACTGACCGAGGCTCTGATCCGATGACGACTTGTGCGGCTCAGGGGTCTGCTGCTGGTGCAGCGCTTTCGAAGTGTTGCGGTATGCACAAGGGTTCTGCACCTTGTTGGTGTTGCTTGTGGACATCTTGCCAGTGCTGGAATGCTTGGGCGCTTTGCTGTTGAACTTCTGGTTGGACATTGGACGGGCGTGCCCCCCAAGAAAGGGGGCACTTCCAATGGCAGCAACATTTTGTTGCGATGGATTGGTAGTGGATGGATCTGTCGGGGGATTGGTGCCCAGCATTGCTTGGTGCTGGAAGTACATCTTGTCGTACTCCGACTTCATGCACAGATACCGGAAGTGGCGAGAGTTCTCCTCGCCATAGTGAACGAGCTCTGAGGGATGGCAAAGAATGGTTAAGGATTATCTTCTAGACTCGAATCGCGGAGAACCTACTGCTGGTAACCGCCTCCTTCAGCTTGTTCAGTTGGTCGTTTGTCTGCTTGAGCTCCCCTGAAAAGCGTTCGATCTTGCTGCCAAGATCTCGGAAGTTCTTGAACAGGGCATCGTTGATTTTGTTCTAAGTTTAATTCGTCGAATGTAATGATAGTATAGTAGGGAAATGAGTCGATCGATCACTTACCCCTATGGCTGTCTGGACAGTCTGGCGGATCAACTCGAAGAACTCTTCGGGATCATCGTCCTTATCGTCATCATCGGCGGCACTCACCTGGGGCTGGCCGGACGACTGCGACTGACGCGGACACGTGTGTTGGTGTGCGTGTGGATGGGAGTGTTGATGCTGATGTGGCACATTCTGATGCTGATGCTTGCTGTGGCTGTGATGGGTCAATTGTTGCTGATGTAGCTGGTGCTGGGGCGGATGCGGATGCGGCATCGGTGCCATTTGGAGCGGCATCTCCATCTGCATGTGGTGTGCTGCTGCATGTTGGTGCGAGCGGCGTTTGTTGATCGAACCGCTGGTCCCATTGGGGAGGATTATCTCCTTGTCGGAGATATCCGTGGCCCCGTTGTTGCTGGCACCTTCTAATGTGCCATAGTTGGTACGCTGTGTGACGGACTTGCTGATGGCGCGGCGTTGCTGATGCGATTGCTCTTTTGACTTGCCCAAGTTGTAGACACTGTTGTTGGCCTTGCCGTCGGGCAGAGCGAAGTGAGCTACCTTCTGTCCTTGGGGATGACGTCCGGTCATCTTGCCGGTCGTGTTGCCACGCCGCGAGCTCATGGCGTATGGCGACGGCTGGGGGTGGGTAGCGGGCATCAGAATGCTTGGGTTATTTCGCAAGTTGCTGGCCGTCAGGGGAAGATTCGTCTGAATGTAGTAGTCGTTGTCCGTCACAAAGCTGCGCTGAATACGTGAGTCTGGCGGACGCAAGAGTCCCAATCCCCCACCGCCGGCTGATGGATTGCGTCCGCTCTTCTGCGCGCCCGATCTGGAAGTACCCCCTTGGGGCATGGCCTGCGATTTGACCGGATGGATAGCATCCATCTTCGCGCCATATAGCTCTTCGATCCCCTTGCGACGACTGGAACGTACTATTTTCATTTTCAGGTAGTTGTTTCTTAAAAATGGAAAACTTTTGACTCTCTTGCGCGAGATCTGTTTTCGTTTGTTTCTATAATAAGCGTAAAAGTTTCTGAATTTTCAAAATATTCTTTTGTAAAATTTTGTTGATTTACATTTAGTATGTTGTTTCATCCGATGACTTAGCTGTTATGGTTACGAGCAGGCAGACACAGAACGGAAGTGGGGGAGCCTACTTGATGAATAAAATGTGAATAAAATTATTTGAAATAAATAGTAGTATGGGTGTGTAGAGACGGTAAATAACTGATCTAAGCAACATTTTCGACTTACATTTACTGTATGGCATCCTTTCTGTTTCAAACAGGGTTGCATTGACACTGCGTCATCGTAGTATTGAAAGTATTAATTATCGACATCGGTTATCGAAAGGAAACCTTGACAAGTGCATGACGTGCACTGTTTATTAGTGTTTTAGTACAAATGACTTTGATTGGCAGCGTTTCGGTATCCGTTGCTTCTTGTGAAGTAAATAAATATTGATGAATATCTTATAAATTAATTATTACCTAGTTTTCAGCGAAACAAAGATTAATGAACTCAAAGTGTATTCCGATTGATTAAGCAGTGCACAATTTCACACCTTTCATCCATATTGCCATCGATTCATTATTCATGCCGTTCACTCGTGCTGGGGGGTGACTTCCTCCCCATAAATCTGTTTACCTTTTGCCGCTCCACTAGCCGTGAAAGGCAATGGCACAGACCAAAGACCGCAGAGGAACAGACCAATGTTCGGTTCAATGTTTGCGACTGCCATTCATTGACTTTTTGCCGGAAATATTTGTGTGATTTGATGTCAAATCAAAATGCTAATGAGCCTCTGCTTCTGCTACAGCTCTGGTTCTCTGTTGCAGCTGATTGCGACGGTGACTTCTCGGTTGGGAAGTGGTTCATTCGCTTCTTGGCAGAGCATACAAAATTATTACAAATATTTATCCGATTATTTACCTTTGAACCGCCTTCGGTGGGTGCGTGTGCGTCTTCGAGATGTATCCGAGGCGAAGGATTCGACAGCTGAGTCGCGTGGCTCGAATCCTTAAGTAGCCAACTTTCTGGCGAGCTAGCTTTAAGGCCCGCAGCCTAAAGTCTACGAGTCTGGACTTCCAAAAATAGACCGCTTGCCCTCAGGTTACAGACACTTAAGACGTACTCGTTTAATAAAACTGAAAATAAAGGCAAAGAAAACGAAAGGAAAAAGGGAAAGGGCTCAATAAAGCGTTGGCGGAGACCCTTTAAAAATTGGGTCAACTGTCGCCGGGACTGTGCCTTGAAACAAAAGACCCAAGGAATGTTGCATTCTACACCCATTCCGAAACCATTTCTCTTGCCCATGATGGCCCCATTATGCAAATTGCGTATACGACGTGTGTGCGTGAGGGGTGGCATGGGCATGGGTATGGGCATGGGTCTGGCGGCTGCTGCAGGAGGCATTATCAACTGCCGCATGCAGATAATTTAGCTGACAATCTGTTGCATGCGTCAGGCCACAAACAAAGTTATTATGTACCATATAAGATGGGATCTGCTGGTATAATTTTAATTTAATGTTACGCCTTCCGGCCTTGCCCAGCTTCCATTTCCATTCAAATGCTCTCTCGAGTTCAGCTCATTTCCTATGCCAGTGAGTGTTTGTGTGCCTGTGTGTGTGGCATAAATATAAACGAGCCATGAAACGCCGACGACAGTCAACGTTTTGATAACTTATTGTATGATTCCTGCCAGTGACTGGCTGTGGCTCTGGCTCTGGCTCTGGTTCTGGTCTGGTCTGGTCCTGTCCTGACCACAAGCCACATGCTAGCTGCAGTGTTTGTGTCTGTGTTGTCCGCCGCTCCCATATGAATTTGCCTGCGTACTTGCCCCATTATGTATATTGCACAAAGCGGGAGAGAAAGTGGGCTCAGATTGTTATTACATTTGGTGCAATTCCATGAAGAGCCGCTACTAAGCGCATTTGAGTGCTGTCTGCCATCCGAACTGACGGAGGATGACGTACGACGTATTCAAGTTTTCTAGCTGCCATGGCAATGCAAAATACCAGCACTTATATATATATATGCTTATATTCATCTTCATTATTAGTGTTACAGTAGAAATGCTTTTTGATTTGTGGTATTTGTGTGTGTGTGTGTGTGCGTGAAGATTGGTTTTAGCGACAAATGACAAGAACGTGCGAATATTAGTCATTAGAATTATGCGGAACGATAAATTTGGATGTACCAGGGCATTAGACAGGCTTAAGGCAGCGAATTTTTACCAGAAATTTATCACCCAGAAAACTTTAGCCCACGGTGGGGATAAATCAAAGAAATTCTGGCCACGTGTCGTTTGGCCACAAATCGTCAAGTGCTCGTATTTATAAGCCACAAGAAATGAGGAATGGTATTTCTTTTATTTTATTTGATTCTTTTTTATTTTAATTGCAGGCATGGCAATTAAAAGGCCAGCGAAAAGCGAGTGCAGCATTGTAGAGACGCATAAATTTGTTAGCTGTCAGCGAGGTCTTCAAGAAGTCTGTTCTCGACACTCCGCCCCTGCTGTCCGCCCGGAATACGTCACTTGAACAATTTTAGTTTTCTATTCTCGGTGGGATGAGCAGAGGAATTTCTTTGTATGCTTATTTACGAACTATATTTCCTAGAAATGTATTTTACTTGAAGTCTTCTTCCCACTTAAGAGTATCCAAGACTCGTTTACTTGATGAATTCTTTATCGTTCCCATTTGTAGAATTATTTATTATGCCGGACTCCACACACATACGTATGCGTAATTTTAACGCCTATTTATTTGCTTAATTTAAGAGCTATTTATTGTTGTTTAAGTAAATTTAAAGCATTCACTGTTGACACACAGACATGACGAGCGACATCGCGTTGGCATCGCCAACGCCATCGCCCGAAAGAATTGTCTCTGTTCTCTCCACCTCTCCACCCCTCCATCCCTCCATCCCTCCCTCCGTCTGTCTCTCCCAGTGTGCCGTGTGCTTTATGACAAAATGTTCACAATAAATAAACGATACAACAGCCTGAATTGCCTACAGATATCATTCAAATAAATTTGTTATTTATGCTACGCGATGATGGCAAAGTTTCCAACAAATTGTTCGATTCGCGATTCGTTCGAGGGTCTGGTCTGACTCAAAAGTGCAGCTGCCGTCGCTCTGTTTTATTTTGTTTTGGCTTTACAATAAAAAATTGCCCCGGCTCGACACTTTGATTGGTGATGATTATTCGAATTCGCTGTATTTTGATGCCTTTTTGTCATGCATTCTGAGCAGAACGGAACACTTCTTTATGATTTTTGCATGGTTTTTCTTACGTATAAAAGATCAGTGAGGTTCATAAGCCTTTTGTTTTAAGGCGGCGCAGAAAACTGAATGAAATGATAAATACAATTCATCGGTATTTGGGTCAGCAAAAATTGTTTTTGCATCACTTCAGGCGGATCAATTAAAGTCATAAATATAAGGGGGGGAAACATGAAACAGTCGTGTGCGGTGAGCTTTTACAAGGCGGTTTCTATTTAAGTGTTGTAACGTTCGAGTATATATAGAAGAAGTTTATTAGGGGAAAGTCTTCATATGGACAATAGGCTTAACCCTTGGGGGCCTGTCCATAGGTACATCAAATAGATAAATCGATCAAAGATTACCATCTAAATACCATATCTAAACTTGTTACTTCTGAATCCGCTTATTGATGATCAAATCACCCATCTCTCTCTCTCTCTTACCGTTTTCCCTGTTACCATTCACACTGATAAGAAAGCTTCCCATTCACCGAACCGAATGTTGCGCAGCAGTAAGCTCTCTTCAAGGCGCCATCAACATGTGGCTGGGCAAACATGCTGCCAGCCCGAAGGTTGCCAGCCAACGGCACTAGCAACTATAATTAATTGACCGACTCGCCACAAATATTAACTCAACACTTGAAGCACTCGGGCTCCACATCCGCGTGGCTTGGTCAAGTGCAGTGGCAGCAGCAGCGCAAATAGCAACAGCAACAGCGGTAGCATCATGTTGACAGCCTGCCACATAAAGAACAAGCAAAACGAGTTCGGCAACATAAACAAAGAACAGCTGTTTCTGGGGGAGTCGTGTCGGCTTCTGGAGCCGGCTGGAGCTTTGTGAAGTGAAATCAAGCAGCATGCTGCCGCTGCCGCTGCTTGCCTCGTGCCTCGTCGTGGCCAGCGTCGGTGTCGGTGTCGGCATCGGTGTCGGCGTCGGAGGCAACACCAGCAACAGCGGCAGCAGCAACACCATCGGCAACAGCAGCAGCAACAGCAGCCCAAACAGGAAAATCCGTACGACGATGCCACACAGATATTCAGTTCAATCCGAAATTTTGTTTGAACCAGACGCGAAATATCTTCACGCTGCTTGGCCAAAAAATTGTGTTGGCAAGTGCGTAAAAATTGTTAAAAGCAAAAAGTGTTTAGCGCAAGAAGACAATAGACAAATAAAAAATATCTACAAACTCCAGAATCTATCTGGCGAAAAGGATAAGCACTCAGAGATTCTGAGAAGAAAGTTCCGTGTCAATAAGGCTAACAATCAGTTTGACAGCTCAATCAGGGCCACTCTCCGGCCATCGCGTGTGCATCTTTAGGATACTTACAAGACAAGAAAGCAGTCAAGCGTGGCAGGGGCAGTTACAGTTGCATTGGCCGCTGTGGCACCTCCAGCTCATCGAAGCCATTGAAGTCGAGTGAAATTTGTTCGTGCCAAATTTGCAAATCGAAGTGTAATTCCCAAGCCATTCTGTTGCCAAGCACTTGTTCAACACATTTTTGAACACGAAACTCAATTTCAATTTGAATTCGAACTGTAATTTCCATCTCCGTATCGAGTGCACTGGAACTTATTCTCCACTGGAACTGGAGCTGCAATTGCAATTCATGCCACGGCAAGTAGTTTGAGTGAGTATCGCGTTGCGATTGCGCAATTACCAAGCGCCATGCCTTGCACTGAGTGTCGCTGTCTGTGACTGTGACTGTGTCTGTGTCTGTGTCTCCCTCTTAGCTCTTAAGTATCCGTTCAATTTATATATTTGTTCGCATTTAGTTGACAGTGATTAATCTTAACATTTGAATGCAAAATCATGCTGGCACTAGCACTAGCAGCAGCTTAGCAATTAATTTGCTCATATTGTATGTATTTTGGACTTCCATTCGGTGTCTCTGCTCTGTGTCGCTCAATTATGCATGGGGCATGCCACACATGTGAGACTGTGGCTGCCAAAGGATTGCATTGCGCATTCCGTTAATTGATATTTGCGTCACCACAAATAACCCTACATTATATACATTACAAATGAATTGAAAGACGTGTCACTTCGTTAGGGATTAAATGAATGCCTCAGCGTTGTGGCACTATTTGTTAAGTTTAATTAGATGCATTTCAATGAAATACGAGTACTCCCCATTAATTCGAATCAAATTTAATTAAAATATTTGACACTAATGTTAGACGTTTGCTTAACTGCAAATATTAGACACATGACATGCCGCGCTAAGAGTTTAAGTAGACACAGCAAATATCAAATATCAAGGCAACTGGGCAAATAAACTTTATACTCGTAGAATAATATTAACACTTAAAATTCATGTCGAACACTAATGCTCAACATGATCTTTTACGAAACAGGCTGCCAGAAAACGACAAAAAGGGCAGTAAAACCGCGCTATAATCATTCTTTATGGAGAATGTTTAAAGCGTTTCGATTATTAAAATAATCGCCAGAAAAATGTATGGAATTTAATAATATTTGGACAGAATTGATTACTGTTAAAATGTTTTTCTAATTTCTAATGTAAACCTACTGCCATAATATTTTTACGACATTATTTTATTGTTATTTTATATCACGAAATATTTCACTTAATTATGGCCCATTTTTTTTTGTAGTAGTTTTGGTGTATATAAAATATTATCTCCCCACAGTTTCGACCCAAAATTATTGTGGGCCTCTGTTGCAAACTGCTTTAAGACAGTGCCTAGGTTTGTTCCACCATTTGGTAGGCTTTAAGTTCGAAAAGTAATTTCACTTAGGGTTCAATATCGATGCCAGACAGAACCACAGACCGAGCATGACAAACTGATGTAAATGAATAAACTATCGCAAAGTTTCAGCGTCTGTTTTGTGGCTTAAAAATTAAGTTTAGTTGCGAATAGTTGTCAATTTGCACTGAAGTCGTGGTTACTTTTCCAGGCAATTCTCGAGGGAAGATATGCCGCCCCAAAAGAACACATTTCTGAATCCAAAATAGGGATCCACTGGCTTCCCAGTGGCTGGCAATTAATAGGAAAATTGCAGCCAAGAAAGTTGAACCAGGGTACTTGCTGGAGAAGCAGCCCCACAACTTTTTCAGCATCATTTGTTGTTCTAGGAGTGGGAGTGCGGAAGTTGCCGAAAAAAGCAAAAAGCAATTCAAGCACAAAGCACACAGAGATTCAAGTAAATAGAAAAACTTTCCAAGCCCCCGGAAAAAAAATGCGTGCATTGAATGTCAGTCAAAAGTCGGTTATGAGCAGTCCGACCCCACCCACACACACACTCCCCCCATAGAGAACCCGAGACGACCACAAGGACAACTTTATCCCCGCCTCGAAGTCAATCTATCGTTCCACGACTCCGAATGTATCTTTGTGCGTGGTATGTGGTACGGGTATACGGGTATGTGGGTATGTGGGTCAGCGTGGTGCGGTGATTGTGATTGATCTGCGTTTAATGCCATTTTGTTGTTAGACGGAAGCGTAAAAATGGTCAGCCCTGAGCGATGATGTGGCACAAATCTCTGCCAGAGGGTTCGGCTGCCATCCGATACGCTCTACACATGCTCGACATATTTATGAAGTTGTTAGTTTGGCCGGCCAACCGCTGACATGCAACACGAGTGTGAATACTCCGGGCCAGCATATGCCAGCTCGTCCTCGCTTGGCCCGCGTATCCTTTTTTTCATATACATGTGCCCTGAGCCCTGGCTAATCATGTAGGCTTGAAAAATGCGCATAAATAATGCAGGAATATGAGACACAATGTGGGAAAAATTCTTGACATTGCCAGCCACAAAACAAATATCTCCACTTGCAGCCCATATGCAGCACTCCAGCACCATGTAGAACAGTTAGAAACATTAAGCGAAGCCAGCAGCCAGCAGCCAGCAGCCAGAGTGGCAGATAGCCCAGATGTATGCAATGGAAGTGCCAGCCATATCACGTATGAATGCCTCCCATCCCTCGGCACATATTGGCACATTCTATAGACACACGTGGAGAGACGTGCGTGTAAAATCGCAAATCACATTTGCAGCTCTGGTTTAGACGGCTCCCAGCTCCAGATTATTTCAATTTCCAGTTGCTGGCATTTTTGATGCATTGATTATGTTATTTTCAGCATCTGAAATGCTTTCACCGCCGGCTTTAGCAGCCACTTCTCATACTGCTTTAGCTTTAGTTTGGGCAGCCATGCGTGGATTGTTGAAATTTTCGGAATGGAATGGCCCAGATTCAATCCCTCACGTCCTTATCGGGGGATGCGTCTCCGCCCTAGGCTATTGTTTACCGATACAATTGAACTTCAAAGCTAATCGCTGGGGTACGTGTTTCGGGGCCATAAAAAAGGAGCGAGAAAAGGGAGCTTCCACTTTGATTCGGCGACTTTTCAGAGGGTAACTTTACACTTGACGATTTTTACATGTCATTGGATCCGGTGCTTCGGGCAGGGATGGCACGAGATGGAATGGGGATGGGTAGGGTCTAGCAATAGCAGGAAGTAGTCGATTAAACGCCCGTCACTTTCCCATCAGATACAGAATGAAATAGAGCTACACAGATATTCCATCTGTCCGTCGGTATATCATCGGCTTGTTTTTTCTCGTTTTTCCCATTTCCTGAGAATTTACTTTCGTATTTGTGTTTCGTAGTCCGCGTTGTTGCCTGCAACTTCTGCCCAATGTCGATCATCTCGAGTTGAATGTGCCGCTGATTTGTTGCCACTCCTAATGTGCCTAATTGAATCTTCGCCTCGACTTTCTTTCCCCGTACTTAAACGGCGCTTTCCTTTCTAGGACCTGGTCTGTGAATGAATGTAGCTAATTTATTTATTCAAGTTAAATCGTTTGAGAAATTGGGTCACAATGCTGAGGACTCGAAGTTGAGTTTGTCTCGGCTTGATAGGCAAATAATTTATATTCGCTTTAAAGCGTTCCGTTCCCATTCAGGACTTTTATGTGGAATTGTACATGCTCTCTTCTCAGTGGTTGTTTCAGAAAACTAGGAAACAAGAACAGACAACAATTTACATAAACTTTTTTGGGACAACTGCAACGAGGGAAAAGTTTTTCCTGTTTATTGCTAATTGCTTTGTTAAACAGCGCTGTGTAAATACGTATAAATTCCTCCCACAAAAAGAGGCAGCAATTATACCAACATTTTAGTTAAATAAAAACACAAATGCCAAACAATCAATATGACATTTTAAGCATATTTAGGCCGAGAAGAATACAATAAAATCCTAATTTAACAATATATTTATTCACAAATGAATAATTTGCACAATTCACATCCAATTTGTTATTCCTTCAATTATTTGTCAACTTAATGTGGTTTTGTCTCGACTCAAGGGAAATGGAAAATGGCAATAGAAATGCTCCGAAAAACCACCGGGCAAACGCCTTAAAAACGAAGGAGAAAGAAAAGTTTCAAACACAATGAAAGGCACCGCAAATGTGTGGCTGCTGTGCCAGCTGTCAATGATTTGTTTCAACAATTTCGCCAGCCGAACGTCTCGTTAAATTCACATAAATATCGTGATTACCTGTAATATGCTGACTGTCCCCCAGCCCCTCTGTCTGGCCTGTCGGCCACAGGGATTCCTCTTGTTCATGGGTTTTCTGCTGCGTTTGCCATTTTTTTAATGATGTGTTGGCTCCGCTCCGGTGGCCACATCCTCATCAGCCCCAGCCCCAGTCCCAGTTAAAGGCTTTAATATAACAATTTACTTTTAATTTATGCGTTTGCACCAATCTCATCAATCTGTTTAATTATCGAGGTGCCCTGGAGGGCAATAATCGTGGCTGACATTTCAGCGGGGATCTCGGAGATTTTATTGGCCATGCAATTATGCCAGAATCGCTGCGCCCGACATTTCAATAATTTTATATTGTTATTATATCGCCATTTATAATATTAATATCATGTTGAGTCGGAGTGAAATTTTATTTAAATTTACTCTCCAAGGTGTCGAAAAAAGAAGCAAAATGACAGGGGCCAGCCACACATTAGTCATGTTAATCATACGCCATGTGTGCCGCCCTCGCAATGGTCTCAACTGCACGTGGGTGTGCTTTCTATCTCATCCGCTCAGTTTCCCTCTCATTCTCTCAGCTTATCTAGATGTGTCCGTGCGGGCTGTAAACCACTTGGGTTGCACATTTAATATGCACTGCACATCGCTGCGTACACGTAATGTGGTAGGTAATGGTTTGTATAACAGATAAAGAACTAGGCATAAAAACAAAGAACTGTTAGACCAATATTAAGATAGAAATTTTTGTCTAAAGGCCTGAAATTTATGGGAGAAAGGGACTGGGAATACAGGTAGAGGATAACTATCACATTAGATCAGCTAAATATTATTTGTGTTAGAGTCTCACATATTTCATTAGACTAATCCTAACACACTTTCCGTATAGCATATTCTCTTCGCTTGCCCGCATGCACCCAAAGACACAAATTCAAGTTTAAATGTCACATAAATCTCTGGACCCCGGCTGGCTGGCATGGAGCACGCGCATATCCCCGGCATTTTATCGGTGTTGGCAACTGTCTAATTAGGTGGGGCCTCGGACAGGCCAAAACTGGGGAAGAGATAAGCGATAAGGGGCAACACATGTAAACAGGTTGGACAAATGGCAGC